AACTGGAGCCGTTGTTCGCCGCACACCAAAGACGTTGCAATCCGCGGAGCGGGCGTCAACGTTTTTTTTAATGAGAATAGCCTTTCACCTTTCTGACAGTTGGGTTAAGATGTTAAAACACCAAACTGAAACCTTTTGCAAGGAATCTGCTTGTGGTGAACATGCAAACAAAAAGCATGCTCTGGTAGTACATGATGATGCATTGTCTTTGAAACTGATTGGTGCACACCAGAGACAGCTTTCTTTAGAGCCTAGTCTCACTAACAGTGTTAGTAGACCCAAGGAGGACAACGCCAAAAGGCGCACAGCACAAGGACAATGCCACTATCAGGACAATGAGAGCTCCCGGTGAGCAGCTACACCAAGGGACCTCCCTTGCCGGTATCAAACCTGTTGTATTGCCAAAACGGTAAAACCTATTGTTATATTTTGATACTGGCAATGGAGGTTCCATGATGTCAACGTTTTTATTGGTTCACTGCTGGAAGACAGCGTACGGCCAACGTCCCGCCGATGATGAGACGAACATGCAAATGTTGTGCCGTGTTAATGCGTGCGTGCATGCGTGTCGGGGAAAATGAAAAGCTTGTTGGTGGAAGCGCGCTACAAAAGCTGGACAACGAGCTTCTTTCTATTCCTGGCAGTGCACATCGTCATCTATGCGCGCGTAGCGATTGATGCATCAAACAGATGCTAAAGCTTTACGATACACCAAACCACTGCGAAGCACGAATGCATTATTTCTGATGTATTCATATTATGCGCAAATGTATACCTTTGACTGTCGTAGACGAACGGAATGCACGTGACACAGCAAACAACAGACCATACAAGGCAGACAATACAAACGTGAACGGCACGAATCATGACAATTCATATTGTGGGTATTCACATGTCTTTCCTAGGTGTCTGGTCACAGTGGAAGAGTAGGCCAAATACCCTTCTCGGGTGAAGGCCCTTCTGCCAGCAGTGGCGTGAGCAGGCAAATGCAAGGCTGCACAGTTAGTTATTCAAAGAATTATCCACATACATTGTAGAGGTGACGTTTTGGGGAGATAGTGGAGGCATAGTCACATTCCTAAACGCTGGCTCCGGTAGAAGGAAATTAGCGCGGTCCTCTCCGAAGTCAATTCAACCTCCTCATCCGAGTACCTGGTGCGAAGTCAGCATCGGCACGTGGTTGATAAAAGGTGCTGACACCACCACCACCGCCGCCGCATCCTATGCAATGCCAATCTGAACGTGTGCTTACGAACAGTGCCTGCCTCGGTGGTCTTGAGTGGATTAATGGGCTGTCTTTAGCATTGTCCATCTGTTTGTGCACCGTTTTGCAGTTAACAGGAACACGACAGAAGCACGGAGGATGTGAGCAGAGAAGCCATCAAGTTGCGTCGGATACATCGAGCAGCGGTTCTTAACATCAATCCCACATGCTCACCCCCTCCACATGCTTCAGTGAAAACTCTTTGAGGTCTGAGACACATTCCGACCAAAGCAGGCTATTGACTTACACCACTATGGGGTTCCCTTTTTAACTGTGCGACACTATGTTTAAAAATATATATATATATAAATCTGGCATAAGATGTGCTCAAATGTGGCCTGATTGTAAGATAGCTGGAAGGCTTTGTAAAAAAATAATCCCTAGTTTTAAGCTAACAAAAACCGCATTCTCAACAACACACACACCATGATAGACATTTAAAAATGCATACATTATTAGTTTAATAGGTTGTTTTGAGCTGAGAAAAATGGTCGTTGAAGACAATGATGTATTGGCTAGAAATTATAAGACCACTTATTTCGTGGCCAATTACTCGGGACTCTTGTAAAACCACTCAAGACATCGTGCTTTCTGAAGGCAGGCAACCCCCAACAAGCCACGCCCAGCGTGATGCAGGTGATGCCGATGATGTTACCAAGCCCCGCCCATCACCTCTCGTCCAGCGGCATACATGGGAACAAAGGTGAGATTTTTGTTCGAAAGTATGTTCGTGCTATTCCATTAGTAAGGTATTACATTAACGAAAAGCCCAGTTTTAAAGTTTGTTTTCCTTCTTTCTGAAATTCGGAGATTGGCGTCTGAAATTATAATGAAACACACGGTAAATCCAAATTGTACTGCATTTTAATGCTTATCAACAATGAAATAACCAAACACGAAAAGTCATGCAAATACTAAATGTCCCAACAGCAACGACTAAATGTCAAACAGCACATACGAAAAATACCAAATTTCAGGCCGAAAAAAAGCTATGAAAACACATTCTGGACTGCAGTTATTTATTTGTGCATATTAAGAATGCATTATTCTAACAAAGTGCATCTAAGATCGAGGGCCCATTTTAACAAATGAAGGCTATAGCCATATTAGAAACATAAAAACAAAGCGTAACGTTCCAACGCGTTCACAAGACAATGCCAAGTATGATTGAAACTAAAGTCAAGGACTGTGGAACGTGTACTCGGGGACGGAAGGGCATTTTAAACGTTTATTAAAACACGCGACAGCACATCTCAGTGTTAAGTCAACACAAATGCAAACATTTGCACCTTGAGGACATGGAATAAAGATTCAATACGCCACGATCATACAATTTCAGATGCTAAATGACAGCCACGAAAGAAAATACCTGCTGCCAAAAAAAACACTCGAGCAGATTAAACAATCTATAGGAAATAGCCACACAGCTCAAAATTCGCACGGTCACATTTTAATTGTGGCAACTCGCCCGTGACGAAAACTGATTTTCGCCCCGAGGATGGCTTGTGAAAAAGACAGCAGGGGGAGCGGGGCATGGATATATATTTTTCCCCACAAGTGTAAAATTCAAACATTAAGTTCCGGAACACCCGTAGCTGCAAGTAAAACCTGCTGAAAGCTTTCGTTGTCCGGCATCGCGGTGATGGCTCTCAAATTAGAATTCTGAATCCATTCAGTACACACTGTGCCAAGCAGAAGGGTAGATGATGAGGCTGTGCATTTTCATCCATTGTCATTTTAAGCATCACTACTGTGTCTGTGTTTTTTGTAGTTGTTCCATATAGCTCTCCTGTGCATTTTTGGGTTGTTCCGCGTGTTGTTCGTGATGACGTCCGACGGTTCGCTCCCCGTCCTCGGAGCATTCTGCTCCTGAAGAAGCTCCCAGAAACGTGGAGCGAAACGTCGGACATCATCCCGGACAACATGCGATACAACGCGAAACACACCAGATACATTTTAACCATCGTTCAAATCCCCAGTTTCATATTTTAGCACTAAATTGTAAAAAAATATACACGTATTGTCCCGAAGTAACTGCATGCCCAAATGTCTAACTCACCAACCAGACAATTTGCCTGCAACTTTCCCAAAACCCATTGCTCTGACACCCCGGGGTTCATGCAAATTTCCGTCTTTAACAATCATCAGTTGCGTGCCAATTCATCACACAACCTAATTTACATTTAAATGGAGAATACTGGGAATCATAGATATATGGAGCGTGGGCAGGCGCCAACACTGAAGTCAGAGAGACTCTCTCCGAATGTAAATCCCTTCCATACAAATGCCTCTGTTCCTTGCCCACAAGGCTGTACCAGCCCAGGAGCAAGTCAACAGTAGCACCAGAACCGAGTTTTGTCCTCAAATTACGAAGAGTCGTGCAACTCTGTGGACATAGCCCTTCCTACCCTTTCCTTCAACATCTTACCCTCTTAGGCCAGGGAGCGGTGGTTAGGAAGTGATCTTAAAAATACGTTCCTTTTGAAACAAAGTTTATCTAAAATGCCAACGTGCCCTGGTGTAGAATAGTTAAAGTTAACTTCTGTTTTTTATGTTGAAGATCTTTTGCAACGTACGTAGCCAACCGTGCTAATCGGAGGTGCAGAGATGTGATTTTCTACAATGTAGATTTAACACTACTACGGCAAGGAGGTCGAACCAAGTGACTTTAATTACATCATACGCGTGTATTACTTCTGCCTTGACCCTTTGTGTCATGACTTGTTCTCGTGGTCTGCCCAGCTCTACGCATGCGGTCTGGTGTGAGAAGAGAGCTCAGGGTCACAGTTCTGGTATTAATTGGAAACCAGCATGAGCAAGTGTCAAGGGAGCAAAGACTCCCCCAGACTGGCTGGCTGACAAGCCCTGGGCTAGCATAGTTCCCAATGGTCTTGGAAATGAGGCATCAATTATTTACATATTAATATATACATTTACCCAATTAAAGTGGAATTGCTGCTGTGGTGGTAATGGTTTATAGCACACTGGAATTTTCAGAGGTCACCAGTCCGATCTCAGGTCATGGTAGGTGAGATAATGGATTATTTTTTTCAAACTCAAACTAATCTATTTTTATTTTACCAGGTCAGGCCCACTGAGCTATATTTCTCTTTTTCAGAAGCGACCTGGCCACAAATGATAGCTCAACGAAGTGGCTCATTACGTGGAAATTTATAGCAGCCAAACGCTTTAAACACATTTCTAAATGTGGAGGGAAGAATCGCAGGACCCGGAGAAAAATCCACGCGATCACGGGGCGAGAGACATGTAAACTCCAAATATACTGGTGTCAGATTTGGGATTGAAACCACAACCTCCTGCATAATAAGCGAGGTAGTAAACATCTCTCCCCCCCCCCCCCCACTCGTCCAACCCAGCAGTATTAATGGGCACAACAGTCGATCGGCAGGTTGCGTGTGGTGGGGTAAAGTGTGTATACTACTTCTTCTGAGATGTCTGGCCAGCGAGAAAGAGTAGGCCAGATGTCACGTAGAGGGGATCTCCAGAGCTACCGCTAGTTTGAGGCCCTTCTGCCAGCAGTGGCTTGAGCAAGCAATTGCAGTGATGCGCCTTTGCCCTTTACCAACTACTTTTGCGGTGCACGGGAAATGTGCCGTTTGTTTACCACTTTCGAACTTTGTTCAACAAGGACAATGCTCTTGATTTACTCCCACATAAACGAATCATTCATTTCCAAAATCCCGGACGCGGCAATAAATCGGCCTCTGCAAAAATGAAAACGTGATTACACTGTTTATTTTTCTTTGATTTTGTACTTTGATAGTAAAGTTACAAAATCTGAGCATCCCCAAGTGTCCTTGCCCTTCCCGGTGCAGCATAGATGGTGAGCTTAGGCAGAGGATTGCCCCACAAGACCAGTTAGCCACGCAACGTAAACCGCAGATAATGAACATTTACAAATTAACACTCAAAGGCTGACGCTGCCAAAGTGTACATTCTCCACCTCCCCACTCCCAATCAAAATAAATTCAATGGGACGCTATTATCTGTTGATTTTGATTAACCATGCTGAGCTGCATCATTTTAAGTCCATTAGTTTCACTACTCGGAATTTAGCTCGTGGAGCATCAGGCTTACTCAGTGTGCTGCCCAATTTGAGGACTCGAGTGCAGAGCGAAGAGCCAGGGTCTTTTGAAGTAGCATCTTGCTAATACACCGTTTTTTTTAAATCAACAGATACAATAGAATCTAATGCACGTTACATAATTTAAACCTGTGCGGGTGAGGAGAGCTGACACGGGAAGGCTGGAGTGAGCTGCATCCCTATGCAGCAGAGTTGAGAGCTTCTGATATGCACTTCTGCAAACAAACATTGATTGTTTCATGTGTTGGGGCAGGCTGGTCATGCATGGAGTGTTGTGGCCTCTGGGTTTGGAACTGTGGGTTTTTGCAAATAAAACACAGCAAGTGCCATTGGCCCTGCAACTATGTAAACCAAGCATTAGGGCGCTACCTGCCCAACACACGCACCGGGCGAAAAGAAAACACGTACGTTCTTGTTATTTTTATAAATCTAAAAACTTGCACGCACAGATACAGGGGCACAGACAGAAACGCACGCATACACATACCTCTCCGTAGGTCCTCATGCAGTAAGTCTGTATGCTCAGCGCAGACAGGCGCGGACGTGGTGTGCATTTCAATGCTGCCGAGGACTACATCGTGCGGGTAACGGAGCGACAATTAACATGATGGGACAAACAAGTCTGCGGCTAGCAGACGGTCCCCGTACATGAATTGCCTTTGGGTCTGGCTCCATCCCCCATTAGAAATTATTTAGTTTCACCATAGCCTTCTGCCAGGCTCTAAAGTATCTGTACACGATAGCACTGAAACAATGCAGAGGGAAGCATTTGTACACGTTGGTTGCTTTCTTTTCCGCTTCGATGAGGGCCTCTAAAGAGTGAGCCGGCCACTGGGAAGGGAAGCGCTGCACGAGACACAGCGGGGAAACCTCGGAGGCCCACCTCGTCCCCACTTAGTTCATCTTCCTGTGCAGGAAAACCCCGGGTCAAACCGTTAATACACCGATCTGAATATCTTGACATTTAAGGCATGAATCCCTGGCCAGATTGCCTTGCGTACACTTACAAATTTAGATTCGTATGGTTCAGCCATTTGTGATGCATTCACGGACGACAGATGTGTCTTGTAACAGTGAGGAGATGAGCATAAATAAAACATAAACAACCAAAAACTTGCAAAAAGGGCATGCGGAGGCTGCGGTGGGGGGGGGGAGGGGCATGTGGTCTGCGGCACGAGTCGACACTCCCTCCCTTCCTTGCTCACGCAGCCTTCGTCTCCGCAGGACCCCTTCGTCAACATAGCCCGGCGCGTTGGGCAGCGCCTGAAGCGACGGTGCCAATGGCCCAGATGCTCACGCCCGATCACCGCTTGGCAGGGGGCGGCGGCATCAGGGATTCTTCGTCCGCGCCCGGGCGTTTCACGCCGGCGGCGTGGTTGGCGTTTGACGAGACTGTCGGTGGTTGCTGGGCTGGCGGTTGCTGGTGCTGGTGATGCTGCTGTTGGTGCTGCTGCTGTTGGTGATGCTGCTGTTGGTGATGCTGCTGGTGATGATGGTGGGGCGCAGCGGGTGCGGCAGAAGCGCCGGTTGATTTGTACCGATGCTTGTCAATGTGGTCCAGAAGGATCTCCTTGGTCACGGGAAACTGGATGCTCTCGCACACGCCTAGGAGGGCCAGACAGATTGGGTCACGTACGATGTCTGGGGCACGGTGACATTACCGGCTGCTGCTGTCTGCAATTCAGGGCCATACTCCACAGCCCTCCTGTCGAGTGACTTGGCTCTTTGTAATACGGTATCAGTGGGGCTCCTTCTCTGTGTGCTTTTAGTTTAGCCTCCCATGGCATCTTTATTCGTAAGACACAAAAGGGAGAAGCCAACTATGCACTTATACGCCACTTTCCTCGGGAACCCTTAACCCCGCCGGCATGCAACCATCTCGCCTGAAGTAAGACACTTTCCTTCCACAGCTCCAACACGGCCCTTAGATCCAAGTCAACGGCACAACTATAATTCAGAGACGCTTCGCCACTTCAAGCAATGCTTCATGCATGAAGAACAAATCTGGCTCATAGGCTGGGGTTAGAGGAGTGTGACTCTCCGTGCACACGCGAAGATAAGTCAGCATCAGGGACAGTACTGACATGGAACCCCGAGAACGAGCAGCCAAAGAGAGGCGCCTGCCCTGCAACCACGCAGGCACAATACCAGCACACTCCAAAATGGCAGGAAATATAATTATTTAAATTTCAGAAGAAACCCCCCCCCCCCCCCCACTAAACCACTTTTTCCGCAGACTTGATTTTACAGTCAACTACACTTGTTCCGTATTAATGCGGCATCGTTAATTAAATCTACACGTGTACAGACAGTTAAAGTGCCCATTAACGTTGTCGCCTTTGCCCATTAAGGCCGTCGAAGCAAGTCTGTTTTTCCCCCTAACACCACGTCCATGCAGATGATTTATAACCCAACTCACCTTTCACGCAATGCACCTACAGCACATGGACTGATCCATTAGGTCTACTGTTTGGCCAGCACAGAAAACTGCGAGTGTCACATTTCAGTGACCTACCACCGCTCATTACAATTTAGTCGTTACTTTAAACAGGAGGTCGAGTGCTGTATGGCGCTCAAGAATGAAGTTTGTCTGCTTCGCAAGCTGGGCTAAGAAGCCGAGTTCAAGACCTGGGGCCGGGTGGCTCAGGAGGCTAATGACGGTGTCAGAATTCAGAGCCCGTTTCTTTGAGGTTCTACGTTTACATTTCGATCTACTTGTACGTGGTGAGCGTTCAGCCGTTAGTTCACTAATGAACATTGTGAAAAAGTTACCGGTGCCAGAAGTGCTGTTACACTAATAGCTGTACCTTTACAATGACTGTCAATAATGGGGTCACATTACCCTGGAATTTTCCATTTCACAAGACAAGTGCTCGATGTATTGCACAATGTCCTATATAGCTCAAAACTAGGTATCCCTTATATTTGATAAATACCAGGGTATTCCCTGTGCCGGGGTGAGACACAAGGGACCGATAGGCAATACCTTATGATATGTAATAGAATCCAGTAACAAGCCCACCATTGTCACCCAGCACAAACAGATATGTGCACCTGCTTCAATCATTCTCGGCTCCAAAAGCACACCGATTCTCGATTCTCACAGCTGCCCGTCTGCCGCAGCTGAAGAGGAAGACGAAGTGGGAAATTTGTCTGCTGAATCCCCACCCCCCCCCTAAAAAAAAAGGAAACCTACAATTTATTTTAAATGGCCAAAGTGAAATGAACATTGGGTTTTCGGTGGCGTAGGCTGGGTTGGGTTTGTACAAGCAATCGCTCAGCTGAACGTTGCGCCCACAATCAGCGGTCAATGTGGACACAGTGGCTGCACTCAAGAGAAATGCAGGAGTAAATGTGGCACGAGAAGGGAGGGAGCCTCGGGCCGTGAGGTTGTGCCACATCATGTGGCGATGAGATTGGGTCCGAGAGCAGGCGGCTGGAAGAAGTGTGGCAGCACTCAGCGAAGCGTGTGTCCAGTTATCACGTTCATGTGGCGGATCACGTGTGATGGATGGAAGCAAGGGCCAGTTCACTGTCGGCAGCAAAAACCCATCGCATTTAAGCGCTTCTGCAGCCGTCTGGAATGCCCTTCCTTCTGATATCAGGAAGCCACTGGAGCTGTGCGCTTTTAAATCATCTAGATTGAAAACTGGTTTCTTTAGAACTGCTTCTTGTGTTTTAGTTTGTCCTTCCCCCCCCCACCGCACATCCGATTATCATGGTTGGATACCTTTATGCGAAAGAAGTTCAGCATACACTACATACATACAACAACAGTGGCTGTTGCCCCTCTCAAGTGTTATTGTTTTTATACGTAAATATGTGATTAAACAAAGCGGCCACTTTAGACCAACGTCTGAAGTTTATTCTAATGTAAATAAATATCTTAACTCTTGTCTCCTAAAGTCGTGGTTGGAGCTACCGGATTTGCTTTTGTATAATTTGCTTATTTATTTTTGTTCTGTTGCCATACCTCCACTTTTGGCTTCTCACATACAAGAAGTGTTTTACATTCATGACGAAGTGTGTGACTGCACACGTGCACATGACGTCATGGATGTTACATGAAAGTGACATCACTTTGTGACGTCAATGTGCGACACCCCTCAGCACGAGGATGCCACGCACACTCATGAATATTAATGAGATGGCAACAATACAAGGAATAATTAATATGATGTACGTATTTATTTATTTATTCCCCTATGCTGTGAGTCTACTTTAGCTATCGACTTCTGAACAGGATTGATTACATTTATTTATTTTTAATTGCAAAAAAAGTTATCAATATGAATTGTATTCTTGGTTCTTTCAGTAAAGTCACGTAGAAGGGAAACAATAAAACAAATTCTCACAAGTTTTAAATCAAAATATGAATTTTTTAAAGTTGTGAGAAAAAAGTGCGCAAATTTAATTTGAAACCAAGTTTTACTGTGGAAGGACTTCTGGTTGTGGACACTATGGAGGTTCACTGAAAAATACATACACTAAAACTATAAGTGTGGATAATCACTGAAGTTAAATTACAATAAGCTAATATCATATGCAGGCTTTCATAATAAGTTACATTTTTATACCAACATGATCTAACCCAATAAAACTATGAGTAAATACAACAAGCTATTGTTAAGTAGGAAAGCCCTATTGTTCCTCAAGATTATTTTTCAAGAGGGCCTGGAATTGGAACATTTTCAGTGAAGTGTCAGAGAAAACTCAAGCAAGACAACAAGATACCGATCAAAATTCCACATAGCTCGAAGAGCTAATTGCTTTCATGATATCCACTGACCATCATCTTGTAGCTCTATCAGCTACATCTCATACAATGAAAGCTGTGAGCTCCCGCATGGCCTTGTGGGAGCCTCGGTACATCGTCTGACTTGAAGACGGTACCGATAAAGTTTTGATTTAAAGCTTTCGTTACTGCAGGGTTCATATTCTTGGTTCTTTCGGTAAAGTCACATAGAAGGGAAACAATAAAATTCTCACGACGTTTCGACTGCAACACAAGCAATCATCAAGTGTGAAAAACACATTTTCTTGCTGTGGTTTTCACACCTGATGATGATTGCTTGTGTTGCAGTCGAAACGTCGTGAGAATTTTATTGTTTATTATTTTTATTATTTTATTGTTTCCCTTCTACGTGACTTTACCGAAAGAACCAAGAATACCGATAAAGTTATTTCATTTGAGTTTTCTTCCAATTCAATTCCGATGACAAACTTACGTGTACGTCAACGGAATGGAAAGAGAGTTAAGGTTGATGGCTTTATTGGCTGTTGTATAAAAACAGTTGATTGGGTTGGGCAGGGGGGGGGGGAGTGCTTTTGAGTCCTTGGAAATAAATGGCAGGGTTTTGAATCAGCTGCCCTGAGAATCAGGATCGCTTGCCATTTCTCCCATCAGCATCTGGGTGCTCACGGTTTGGTTTGCAGGCCAAAATGGCACCTCTGGATAATCGATCTGGCTTCTGAGGAGGGACTTGCTCATCCCTTTTAACCAGTAGGGGCTGCAGAAGTGATAGCAATAAAAACAAGATGGTGACTGCTCACCTGCCCTGTACTGTTCAGGGCATCTGTCAGCATCGAGGGTGGAGGATAACATACAAATGGCAGGACAACGGAGATTCGGTTTCGGCTACAACTGGCTGCTTATGGGCCATTATTCTGGCTGTGCCAGCGACACAATAACAAGCTGCTCTCTCCCCAATACTTGTGACTGATGCCACCACATGTGCCTGTTTGGCTGCGGTGTTTGAAAGTGTAATTGCACAGACAGATTTGCCTTTGGAAAAAAAATGTTTAATTGTAAATAACGGTATTATGATAAAGATAACCAAAACGCTTCACTTATTAGTCCTGTTCCATGATCGTTTTTTAAAGAGTTTTAATTAAAAGTTTGCAAATGCGAAGTGGAAAAAAGAGTGAGCAAAAGATTCGGCTTAATATTATATAACTGGTAATATTCTTAAGACAACTCTAATCCTTCATGCTGCAAGTTTCTCTATCTTCTCATGTGCATTACCGGCTTCATCGAAATTACTATGCATTGATTTAGTTTAACATGACACCTAACAAACCGAGGGTTTTAAGACAAAATGAGAGTTTGACAAAAAAAGTGTTTTGAATTGAAATTATGACCCCCTCAGAATTTGTATTTCTCTTCCAAGCATTCACATTTTAATAGTTGGTGCTGTGCGGTAACAGAGACAGCCTACAATTGGGGCGACTGTGAGATAAGGCCGGGCGGTGGACAAAGCAAAGAATGGAGCACGATTTACAATGCCAGCAAGACCATGAGCTCCATTGTTTATAATTTGCTTCTTACTCAAATAGACAATGGCCGTACAAATATACAATGAAAGATACAGTGCTGTTGAAACATTAATGTAGGCCTTCTTCACAAAGAACTGTAACATTGCTCTTATACAGTACATACATGTATGGCCATTTTCATCTATCTGCTGCTGGATGAGGGAAGGGCCTCCCCCACACCATGCGAGTCATGGAAGGACATTTAACCATACTTCACCATCCTGGTCAGCATGGAATGGTTAAAGTGGGGAGTATAGAAACTAAAACTAAACTATTTTTTTTATTTTATTTTATTTTACCAGGTAAGGCCCACTTTGAGCTATATTTCTATTCTTCAGAAGCGACCTTGCCACAAATAATAGCTCAACGTAGTGGCTTATCACGTGGACATTTATAACAGCCAAATACTCTAAAAGCATGTTGCGTGTTGCGGAGGGAAAAACAGGAAGACCTGCAGAAAAATCCACGTGACCACAGATTTTGGCGCACTGCCCTCTACTGCCCACTTGTGTAACCCTGAAGTCACCTATTACAACCTGGCATCCATGGTGCTTGCCCAGCGAAGCAGGATCTAGGTTCAACCCAGGCACATCCGAGTTTTATGCAGTATACATAATTAATAAAAAATATATATACAGTTTCAACGTGTTCTCACCAGGTTATAACATTTGTTTCCATAGGAAAGTCTCACTAAATTTCAAGTCTTTTTTTTCCAGGAAGCTTCTGCATTGGGGTGTGTGGGCCAATGCCTTTAATAAGGAGTGTTTGAACGTATTCATGTATGCATGCATGCACACACGTGCAAAATTATACGACATTTATTTACTTTAACCTCAAGTGGAACCGAGTCATTAAAGCACATTTGCCTCGATGTGACGTGCTGAACGAATTTAATTGTGCATAAGAATCCACCGGGGAGCCAGAAACGTGCGAGGAAATACAAATCAAAAGCACACCAACCTATCGCGAACATCGCCCCAATTACCCTTCAAGTCTTACCCTGGCCCTGCAGTCAGCTGCAGAGGGTCATGCGGTGGGGGTTAGGAGCTGATAAACACCTAATGAGTGATACTAATTAGAGTAAACACAACAATATGAAGCTTGGGTAAAGTGGAGATAAAGCGAATTAACGCACTGTCTAGTGTCCCACGTGCTCAAAACAGTGGCGGTGTGGCGTCCCGTACGCGGGTTATGTATGAATGCTCTTGCTAATGCACACGTTAAACCCCTTCACACCTACCTCCTGGTGGAAAGGGCAGGCCCGAGTCAGCCCGTTACAGCAGGAGGCGTTGCATACAGGCATTGAGTCTCACTGAGAGTGGGTTTTGAACATGCAGACTAACCTTCACTATGCAAATACATCGGTAGAGGATTGTGCAATTGTGTATATGCGCAGCAGCAAATTCACGTACATTGTTACGCAGAGTTGTATTAAAATCAATGCTAGTGAAACAAATTCAATCCCAGAAGGCCATGTGGCTGATGGTATGTGTACAAATGTACTTGTTTCTTTTAATGTGGATGGAAAGATATGGGATGGAGGCGTGTTTTATCTTTATTTATTTTGTTACTTATATACTTCACGATGACACTATTGATCTTGTCAGGGAGAATACTTTTAGTAGAAAGTTAGGTAGATTGCCAGACACACACACAATATGCCACATACATAGATAACCACACACACACCACGCACAATATATACCACATACTCACACAACACACACCACACAAATACACATACACACCATACATGCACACACAGCACAAACACGCAACATCTCATAGACACTCCACACCCTTACTGAGCACCATACAAACTAGGCACTCTGCACAAGATAAACGATACATACCCTACAAACACCCATACCAAAAGTACTATACAAACAACAAGACAAAGATCTCCCATATAGCCTTAACAAACATTTGGGGAAAGTTATGTTAGCGAGCACCTACGAAGGCCGGCACAGAACACGAGGAGGTAGGTGGCCAGCACCACGCCCGACCGCCTTTGTCTCCCAAGTGCGAATGTTTTCACACTGCACCGGTACTCATTTGAGGTCGAGTTTACCTAGGGGAGGCCCAGGACCAGTTGAGATTATTCTCACTGGTGTTGGCATTGAGCGGGAATCGAACTCGGATCACTGAGTTCATAGCGAGACGCGCTAACCACTACAATACCACTCCTCACTCAACATACACTATATACAAATGTATACTGAGCATTATACACACACACATACAAAGACATGCCATACAAGATTCACACAAGCAAGACAAACCGTAACACAAAGATCCCCCGTATAGCCTTAACAGACTGTTGAGGCAAGTGCTGTTAGCGAGCACCTATGAAGGCCGGAACGGTACACGAGGAGGTGGGTAGCCAGTACCACGCCAGACCGCCTTTGTCTCCCTAGTGGCGATGTTTATACACCGCACCAGGTACTCACTTGAGGCCGAGTCGACCTAGGGGAGACCCATTACCGGTTCAAATATCATCACTGGTGTTGGCCGGGAACGGGAATCAAACTCGGGTCGCCGGGTTCGTAGCGCAACGCGCTAACAGCTACACCACCGTACACACACACGCTGTTGCATGGTGGTTGTCCCCAGATTGGCTGAATATGCACCGCTTACCCATGGCGGTGGTGAAGCTGTTTGGGAAGCTCTTGTCAGTGCGCTGCCTCATGAACAACCACTCGTTGTTGTGGAACTTGCACTCGATGATCTTGTTGTCGTACTGCCGGAGCTCCTTGGTGGCCTGGAGGAATTTCACGCAAGGCGATCGCGGTGACCGAAAACACAGAAACGTGCAAAAAACGACGCGGGAATAGATGTCGAAAGGCATTGAGCCTGACAAACCAATCTCGTTTTGTAGCCTCCACCCTGATGGAACAATCACATACGAGAGGGCCCCGTTCATTCATTCACATTCGCGCCATTGGCCCCTTATAACTCGTTTTTGTAAACAGATGCTGTGGGGACGACATGAATGATACGTCAACCACATTGCAGCACCTGTCGCAACACCCACACACATAGAGACAAACCTCATATATTCACACTAATAGCAGGAGAATGACCCACTTTTTTGATAGGTGAAGGTGCATGATGCAACAATGCAAAATGCATTCGCATGCAGACAGGCCTAGGGCACGTCGAGACTAACTGATAAAAACTCCCACACAACATGAATAACGTGTGTACTATATTTATTTTTCTTCACAAAACTCAGAATTACGTAAGTTGTGAAGAGCTGAAGTAAGGATCTCTGCCAAAAAACACGAATATACGAACGAACAAGCGATTTATGCACGTGCTCAGTGATAACACTGCCCCCACTAAGTGGATGATAGCAGAGCCACACCAATCAACATTAATGAAACTCCGCCCACTGCTGTAAAAACATACAACTACTGTACTGCAGAAGTGATCAAGTGGATTTCAGATTAACCGGAGCACACATTATTTTGACTTAAGCACGTGACTTGTAATAAACATTTCCAAGAATAACAATACACAACTGTTTTTATCGTGTTAATTTTGGCTGAAGGGAAAATCCATGAGTTATTAATTTATGTTAAAAAAATCTCAGGCATGCAGTTAATCTGCAAATCAGATAAACCGCACGCGGTTTATCGAGAGTCCACTATACTTGGCATAATGGTGTCAGGCATTGATATACCTTCATCTGTGCAAATGGAGTGTCCTTTTGGCCCACATACAGGAGCCCCATGGTCTTCGTCAGCAAGCTTAACACACACACACGCAAAGACAAACGATTGACAGGTTAACCTCACAGAATGTTGGGACAAGTGCTGTCCGTGAGCACCCATGAAGGCCAACGTGGTGGACAAAAGGGTAATGGTCGCAAACACGACATGCTCACAGCGGTAATGTTCACATAACACACTGGCACTGGGTACTCAATTAAGGCTAAGCTAACCTAGGGGAGGTGCTGCAGCAGTTTATCAAGTCACTGATGCTAGCCACGGCTGGGAATTAAAGTGAGATGTCCGGTTTGTTGCGTAGTGTGCAAACAAATACATCACCGCTCCCAGAACACACATTGGCTTAACACCCATCCTCACTGTTGCCAGTCCATGTCTCACACAGAACTGATTGTGCAACATGAATCATGTGCATACAACTTCGACGCATTTTTAACTGATGTTCTGTATGCACACAACTCAATGGCCACAGAATCACAATGAAGAGAGACACAAGTAATCCATAAGAAACATACTAGACTGACATTGTGATTTATACTGTTGACATCCTTGTACTTGAATGACCAAGGAACTGCATGTTATCTAGATGCAGGTCTGCTTTACCACACTCTTGTAAAAATGAAAGAAAATATCCCGAGCTCATCGGCCTTTGGACCTCCTGGACCTGTTTTCCACAAAAATATCTGTTTCAGTTTGTCTGATTAAGCAACCTTTACTTAAAAACACTGGCCCAAGAAGGCCGAGGAACTGAAACGTTATTTTATTTTCAGATGGTGACAAACTCATTGTCTATTTACTACTTTATTTTACAATATACAGGGAAGTTTATTTGGAATCTGCCAGTTCTTGATGGAATGCATATTGGCAAGGTAGCACTGCACGCAAAGTGTTTTCCGCCCCTTACGGGACAATTTTATTTCTTTTATGTTTTTATTCTTCCACTTGCTTTTAAATGATGCCCAGATGCTGCCATGGCATAATGATGAGCACATTGGATTTGCAATTTCGGGCCTGGCAGTTGCAACCATGATCAAGTTTTCCGACACCCTTCCCCCCAACGCCTCTGGTCCACCCAGCAGAATTAATGGGTGCACCGTGAGTCGATTTGCAGGTCGCGTCTGGAGGGGAAAAAAGTTCAGTTACTCCAACTGCTTTCAAAACATCCGGCTAACGTGGAAGAGTAGGCCAAACACCTTCGACAAGGGTCTCCCTTGAACATCCTCTTTGTGGACGCCCTTCCGCCTGAGCAAAACACTTGAGGGCTGCACTTTTACCTTAAAATCTTTTTGGCTTTCGATAGACTCCACTCACCCCTCGCCGCCGATCTTGCTGATTTTGAGGCGGAAGTCCACCGAGTTCTGGCTTGGAGGCTTCCACTTAAGCATGTCCGTGCAGCGTCCGGGCACGTACACCTACAAAGATAAAGAACCCCCATATAGCTTTAACAGACCCTTGGAGCAAGTGCTTTTAGTGCTGCGCTTGTACAAGGCCGGCACAGTACACGAGGGGGTGGGTGGCCAGCACCATGCCAGGCCACCTTTGCCTGTATATTTGGAGTTTGCAAGTTTCTCTCAATGTGGCCGCGTGGATTTTCTCCAGGTCCTTTGGTTTTTCCCTCTACATTTATAAACATGCGCTTAGAGCATTTGGCTGCTATACATTTCCACATGATAAGCTACTTCGTTGAGCTATCATGGTTGCTTCTAAAAAAGAGTTATATAGCTCAGTGGGCCTTACCTGGTAAAATTAAAATAGTTTCATTTAGTTTCTCCCTAGTGGCTATGTTTACACATCGCACTAGATACTCATTTGAGGACGAGTCGACCTAGGGGAGGCACAGGATCGGTTCAGATAATCGTCACTGATGTTGGCCAATAGCGGGAATCAAACTCAGGTCGCCGGATTGTAACACAGCAGGCTAACCGCTGTGCCACGAGAACCTACGCACACAGACACACACACGCGTGCGGAACAGTGTATGGTAATTCACATACTATGCCATTCATTGTACACGCCATAATTTACAGCATGGGGCGACACGTGCACCATTTGAATACATGATACATTGGAGGTAGCTGGGTGGCTCGGAGGTCAGAGTGGTGAACTGGCACCACTAAGATTCTGTGTGCGAATCTGGGTTTCAGCTGTCTATGATTAAACTTGGTTTTCAATTGTAGTGAGTTAATGATTTTAATGGTAAGCCACCAATGAATGTATACAATAAATTACATTAAATCTGGATCTGCACTTCAACTGGCTAAGATCCAGCTCTGAGAATTAAAATATTGTTTTTTCATACGATGAACATAACTCTCAGATGGCAGAGTCGGCAGGCAAATGCTGCCCCATACTTTGTTGGCTGGGTCTTGAAGGCATCTCAGCAGTAGCTCTGTGATATCCGATTCCGTGGACCATCCCAGAACATTGAGCATTGTACTGCTTCTGTGAGCGATCTGAATGGATTTTTCATCTCGTGGCATGATGCTGATTGTGAAATCTGGATTAAATGTGGGGAAAACAACATATTGTTTTCGCTAAAACGGCATTATTTTACTGTCCTATATTGACCCCACTGAGGAAAAAAAATACTACAAGACCACGGCAGACTGGGAGGTCACATGCATGTACCGGGTCGTAGGAATGTCACAAATCAATTAATTGTCATGATTTCATTCATAGATTTGTTCCCACCATGGTTCAACGTAAAACGCATAGTGGTATGAATCTACATAATCTATACAACTGCAGCAAACTAACCGTGTATCCACCTGAAATAACGGACGCTTACATGCATAATGTGATTTAGGTACCGTCGAATTAAGAACATATTTGAATTGAATAACTGTCATCGACAATTTCTAAAGTGAGACATTTAAGCACTGCTCATGCTCCTCTTTGATGCCGCGTTAAGTAAATATTATTTTGCATCATACGTCAGGCATCTTTTATGTTACATAACACGAGAGGAAACTCACTTGTCGCAGTAAACTTGTGTCGTCAGATAGTCTATGTTAGGGAATGAGCATGGATTCCAAGAGAGAAGGAAAAAATTTAATAAATGCACATATTTACATTTTAATGTCAGCCGACAGCTGTGCGTGGATGCTTTCCGGACATCTGAAAAGGTCTGACTGCTAAAAAGGTGCCTTGTCATTATCATTTCAGCACTTCCCCACCCGACCGTAATTAACGTCCGTTTGGGTAACTGAAGCTGCAACAGATTCTCTCTTGAGCCTCTTGACATTAAAATCGGGATCATGCCAGGGAAGTGGGTTCTTCTGCGGCTTTCTCGGAAAGCCAGCACACACGAGGCCATTTGGATCCAGGGCTCACCAAGACTCCCAGGGAACCTGGCTGCGGCGCCCACGACTCAGTGCAACGGTTAAGCTCTCCGAAGTGCTTTTGCGTTGTCCTGCATGTTGTTCGGCACGACGTCCGACGTTTCGCGCCTTCGCGCTTCGGGGGGGGGGGGGCACTCCATCAGGAACTGAAGCATATTCTGAAGAAACTCCCCGCACGTGGAGTAAAACGTCGGACATCGTGCTCAACAGGCGGTAAGTACAAGCCCTGGAAAACACAGCGGAGCTACACAGCGCAACCGAGAAAACCCACGAAGTAGATCTCCACGGTCGTTATGCAGGACCCAGCTTTGCCGGGCACGCTGCGCTCCACCGCATCTCCCACGGGCAGCACTGCCTACACCCCCAAACCATCGGCAGCACAACGGAATTTCACGAACAACCCACTGCCGAACGGGCCAAGGGTTATGAGCACTTGGTTATAGAGGATGAGAACCCCTTTGCATCGAATATCAGGAAAACAGCAGTCCACTTAGCAACCCACCTGGGTATGAGGTGATGCATGCACTCTCTAATACGGCTTCCGAATGTACTCTGAGCTTGCCGATGATATCTGAACAGTGAACGCAGGCAGGGGTTTGCATGCTGAACCACACTGATTTGATCATACAGGTGCCAAGTGCTTACGGGCACGCAGCTTTCTGTGGCGACCCCTTGACAGGGCTTGTGTTGAGCATGTAAGCTCTCCTACTGCACACAATGAGAAATCAAATGCACGTCAAATCCCACCACATAAGGTCCAAACAAGCCCTGCTTTTTTTCAGAGTATGTCATGGGGAGATAAGAAAAGGTTTTGTTCCCCGTTTCCTATCAAAGTATTTTTTTTATTTTATTTTACAACTAGCTCAGCTTTATATTGCACTATTTAATGAAATGTAATGTATTACAGTGCACTCTGTTTATAATGATCACGACTTACAAAGAGCAGCCGTGCAAAAATATTGCTTATTAAAGAACAATTTCATCCCAATTGATTTTAAAGCTTTTGCCCGACAGATCTGCTGCATACAGTGGAAATCCCATTTATTGATTTGCCCTTCCATAAATACAAGAAAATGGACGTAACTATTCCTGTTTAGATCTCTAAATGGAGAACAAATGATCAGAATCGACACATGCATTAGAAGTCCTTGTAGGCACCAAATTATGAATGCATTTTTTTTACATGTTACGTACATAAACAACAAAGAGTGCTGAAAATTTTACAACGTTCGTTTTATGGAAAACTTTACAAAGTTCGTTTTACTCGTACCTCAAATTAGCACGGTTTCATAAATTCCTACCAATTATCTTCTTTGGTTTTTTCGGTAAAGTCACGTAGAATGAGAATAAAATAATACAATAAAATAAGACAATATTATTTTATTCTCATTCTACGTGACTTTACCGAAAGAACCAAAGAAGATGAATCCTTGCAGTCACGAAAGCTTTAAATCGAAATTCCTACCAATTATTTTTGTTTCCACTGCATTTGGCGATTGATTGTGTTTAATGATGTTCTGCAGTGGCCCGCTGGCTCTCGCCCTTACGGCGCTACACTTTCATGAGCGGGCCGAGGCACCGCGCCGCGTTTATTAAACATTAAAGCAAAAATTCTAACCACTCGCGGGAGGGTGCAGAGACGGCATACATTTTGAATGAGCGGTGATATTTAATCAGCCGTTCTTCATCACCTGGAAATGGAGTTCCTTCATTCTTACTCTTTGGCTCTTTCGGTAAAGTCACGTAGGTATAAAATAAAATAAATCACGACGTTTTGATCGCAACACAAGCGGTTGTCCTCAGGCAGAAAAAAACAGAATCAAGCGGTGGAACTGCTTCTCTAAGCAACCTTCACGTTCAGACCCAACGCACGCGCACAGCCGAGCCTCAGTGGCACCCGCGCTGTGAACGGCAGCGTCATGCGCTAAAAATTAGAAGTGTGCTAGAGAATTGTGAGCTGTTCACCAAATCTACACCAGAAAAGGATTGCCGATTCTAGTGGTGGACTCTTGTATTGCACGATACTTAATATATAATAATGGAGAAAATAATTTACGGCTCTTTGTCACTACTGTTGAATGAAAGCCTACCCGTGCCAATCGGTAACATGCGGTTGTTTAATTATACGTCACCATGTTTGGTACTGCAGAGACATCAACAGGATTTTGCCAAAGAAACTGATAAAAATGGACGTTCGCCAATGCATGAATCAGAATATGTGTTATGCATGCGGGCTCTAGCAACCATACTTGCTGGGAATCATGAGGACAAAGTTACGCGGCAGCAACACTCTTTGTAACGTAAAAAGTGGAGCAGTGAAAGTCATAACTTCTAAAAACTACACATATCCACAGTATAAAGTAAATCGCATTTGTGATGCACGTAAGCACGTCTACCCCTCGCCACATTTCTCTCACTATAAACTCTTTACACGAACCATAAAAAATCGAATGCTTGTGGGCACACGCTGTAATAACAGCGTCTCTATTAAGAGGAACACGATCAGGTGTATTCCGAATGTGTCATAGCGACGATGAGACGGACGATATGGCTATTTAAACATCCCTTAAATGCCCCAGTGACAACTTATTACACGGCACTTACGTTGTTCATAAGACTACGCACGTAGAGAGAAATGTGCCTTTAAAGTTGTCTGCATGCATCTAATTAGGGAGACATTAAAAAAATAATCCAGCTCCAGTTAACACAGCCTGGCTTAATTGGAAACCACACGTGTAATAAAGTGTTCATTGCATGGGGATCACCAATGAAATTGGTGATCCCATCCTCATCAAGTCGTGCTCAGCCTCTGTCTCTACGCCTACTTGCCATCGAGCATTGCCATGGCATTTCAAAGGTGATCTTTCCACATAATCCCTGGAGAGTTTATGCAGCCGATACTGACACCAGGTGATGGTGGCAGTTGTCAGGCACCTCCGATTAGCACGGTTGGCTACGTACGTTGCGAAAGAAGTTCAACAGACGTACATACAAGCAGCGCTGACCTAACAGATGACGAGAATGATGATGATGATGATGAAGATGACGACAGCGTTAATAGTTTGATTGATCTTCTTGGTTCTTTCGGTAAAGTCACGTAGAAGGGAAATAATAAAAGAAAAAAAATAATTGTGTTTTATTTTCATTATTTTATTATTTTACACGTGTGGTTTCCAATTAAACCGAAAGAACCAAGAAGATGAATCCATGCAGTCCATGAAAGCTTTAAATCAAAATTTAGTTTGATTGATATTTGATGAACACTCTTTGCAGGGCACAGACAAGGTGTGTATCTACAGTGAGGGAAAAAAAGTATTTGATCCCCTGCTGATTTTGTACGTTTGCCCACTGACAAAGAAATTATCAGTCTATAATTTTAACGGTAGGTTTATTTGAACAGTGAGAGACAGAATAACAACAAAAAAATCCAGAAAAACGCATGTCAAAATGTTATGATGTTATAAATTGATTTACATTTTAATGAGGGAAATAAGTATTTGACCCCTCTGCAAAACATGACTTAGTACTTGGTGGCAAAACCCTTGTTGGCAATCACAGAGGTCAGACGTTTCTTGTAGTTTAGTTGGCCACCAGGTTTGCACACATCTCAGGAGGGATTTTGTCCCATTCCTCTTTGCAGATCTTCTCCAAGTCATTAAGGTTTTGAGGCTGACATTTGGCAACTCGAACCTTCAGCTCCCTCCACAGATTTTCTATGGGATTAAGGTCTAGAGACTGGCTAGGCCACTCCAGGACCTTAATGTGCTTCTTCTTGAGCCACTCCTTTGTTGCCTTGGCCGTGTGTTTTGGGTCATTGTCATGCTGGAATAGCCATCCACGGCCCATTTTCAATGCCCTGGCTGACGGAAGGAGGTTCTCACCCAAGATTTGACGGTACATGGCCCCATCCATCGTCCCTTTGATGCGGTGAAGTTGTCCTGTCCCCTTAGCAGAAAAACACCCCCAAAGCATAATGTTTCTACCTCCATGTTTGACGGTGGGGATGGTGTTCTTGGGGTCATAGGCAGCATTCCTCCTCCTCCAAACACGGCGAGTTTATTTGATGCCAAAGAGCTCCATTTTGGTCTCATCTGACCACAACACTTTCACCCAGTTGTCCTCTGAATCATTCAGATGTTCATTGGCAAACTTCAGACGGGCATGTGTATGTGCTTTCCTGAGCAGGGGGACCTTGCGGGCGCTGCAGGATTTCAGTCCTTCACGGCGTAGTGTGTATGGTCCCAGCTGCCTTGAGATCATTGACAAGATCCTCCCGTGTAGTTCTGGGCTGATTCCTCACCGTTCTCATGATCATTGCAACTCCACGAGGTGAGATCTTGCATGGAGCCCCAGGCCGAGGGAGATTGACAGTTCTTTTGTGTTTCTTCCATTTGCGAATAATCGCACCAACTGTTGTCACCTTCTCACCAAGCTGCTTGGCAATGGTCTTGTAGCCCATTCCAGCCTTGTGTAGGTCTACAATCTTGTCCCTGACATCCTTGGAGAGCTATTTGGTCTTGGCCATGGTGGAGAGTTTGGAATCTGATTGATTGCTTCTGTGGACAGGTGTCTTTTATACAGGTAACAAGCTGAGATTAGGAGCACTACCTTTAAGAGTGTGCTCCTAATCTCAGCTCGTTACCTGTATAAAAGACACCTGGGAGCCAGAAATCTTTCTTATTGAGAGGGGGTCAAATACTTATTTCCCTCATTAAAATGCAAATCAATTTATAACATTTTTGACATGCGTTTTTCTGGATTTTGTTGTTGTTATTCTGTCTCTCACTGTTCAAACAAACCTACCATTAAAATTATAGACTGATCATTTCTTTGTCAGTGGGCAAACGTACAGCAGGGGATCAAATACTTTTTTTCCATGGATGAAATAGCCGATTGAAGTGACCTAAGAAGTAGCTCTGTGATATCATTTTCCAGGGCTCTCGTCTGGCACACTGAAGTGTAATACTAGATTTGTTCATCTCTTTGGATGATTCTGATGGTATAATTTAAAAACAATTAAATATGATAATGATGAAATTAGAAATGATAATAACAATGACCCATTAATTATGTCACTGGCATATATTGCCAGCTACAGGGAATGCTCGTTGGAAAGCTTAAGAACGTTCCACCACCGCCATCACAATCACCGTTGTTAATTATGTCTCGCTGCTCAGCACCATTTAACTACTAATGAGAGCACGGGTAGCATATGTACCATGCAAGCCTCACAATGCTCAGTCAAGTCCCAGGCGATAATTAAAAATGGATTTAGGAAAACAAATAATGAGGACACCAGCATTTACTTCATTTTGCTCGGATTGGTCAAAAGTGATTTATACAGACATTAAAATTAAAACCGTCACTGCATGTCGTTGTTTAACAATCCATTCAGGCATGAGGACATCACTACACCATGTGGGACATGGGGGTTATTTAACCATACTTCACAATACTGATTTGTGCGGGTTGGTGAAGGCAGGGAACATAGATTGGGAAGCTTAGAATTACAGTTAAACAATTCATTTAGCTGCAGTGTCCTCTGCTGCACACAAAGTAGCCCTACATTAACCTATAACACCCGTTATGCATGGTGGTTTCTCATCTAAGCACTATTCAGGCCGATATTCCTGCTTGGCTTCTGGTCGCTACAGGACGTGTCTGTAACTGGCTGTTGTTCCCAACAACGTAACTGTTAATTCAAGATTTACCCTAAACGTGTGCTAGACTGTGACCTTCACTCAATCTAACAAAAATGCTGTAAAGAGTAAAGTGGGTCTGTTATCATGCAACTCAACTGGCCTTGTGTTCAATTAAATTTTAAAACCCAAGAGCAATAAAATTGGTACTTTAAATAACGATCCAATTATAATCATAATTTTCTATTCATAGATCAAATGTGTCTAACTCCAATGGAGCATTTCAACAGATAACAATATACACATAGTGTGCACTTTAAAATGCAGTGTGCACACAGAGACTGTGACATAGATTTCCCTTGTGCCTCTCACAGACCGTTTGGGCAAATGGTGTTATCTGTTGGGACATGGCATACAAGGGGGTGGGATGTGGGTAGCACCATGCTTAGCCGTCTTTACATCCCCAGTGCAGGATTTTTTTCCCAATGCACCAGAAACTTGTTTAAGGCTGAGTTGACCTAAGGAGAGAGACCGTGGACCGGTTTAGATAACGCTCAGCACTGATTTTAGCCGTGGCCCAGAAATCAAATTCAGGCCCCCCATGTTCGAAGCACAATGCAAGCGCACACGGTGGGCAGAGCACACAAAGATAAAGATCCCCCATATAGCCATAACAGACTGTTGGAGCAAGTGCTGTTAGCGAGCACCTTTCAAGGCCGGCATGGCACACGACGGCGTGGGTGGCGAACACCATGCCCGGCCGCCTTTGTCTCACCAGTAGTGATGTTTGCACACCACACCAGGTATTCAATTATGGCTGACTCGATCTAGGGGGAGGTCCAGAACCGATTAATATCGTCACTGGTGTTGGCCGTGAGCGGAAACCGAACTTGGGTCGTCGGGTTCGTAGCGCAGCGTGCTAACCACTACACTACCGCTCCCCACACACACACATTCATAGACACTCATGCATGCACACACTCAAACAGAGTTTCGGCAAACTTAGAAACGCACAACAGAAACCACTCGCACGTGGATAAGATGTTTCTACAGCTCTTTGCAGGGAATGATGTAAAGTTATTAAGTGTGTAGATTAAGTGGCGGGTTCAAAATTGTTCTATGTCATCTGGAATTAAACGGTCAATGGCGCAAAGATCATTTGTGTACACGCACCGCAGGCTCTGCCCGAGAGCGATTCATGCTGACTGCTGCTCATTATCACGTCAAGCAGTGAGTACTTTCAAATGTACAAATTACCTTCTTAACATTTCAAACACAATTTCAATTCAAATCACTTCGACAATACAATTAAAGAGTTGTTATTAGCTGGCTTAGGATATTAGACATGCGGATGTGGAGTTCACAGGAGGTGTGGGTGGTGATGCTAACTGGAATAGCACCGCAACGTAGGCATCCTATGCACTCACGGGGCATGCAGAGGTGGTGGGTGTGCAACGTGGGGGGTGTGCTGTACGTGTGCCCTAGACTCCAGAGGTACGTTGCTCGCCAACAAATACATGTGCGTGTAAGCATGTGTAGATTCAAAACAGACAAGCTACAAATCACCTCCGCCCTCGCCCCCCCTTCATTCAATGATTTGTCACGAAGCAATGTTGTTATTTAATTGAACACTCTTCTTCGTATTGGTTTTATCGTCTCATTTCGAGCTAAGCAACACGATTAAGTGATCAGTTACTCTATTATATGGTTTCATTACGTGTCTAATCGGGAAAACATGAACACAGTTTGATAAAAAGTCTCGCCTCTTGTTCTCGCGTGTGACTCTAGACAGGAGTTAATGAGTGGGGGCTTGGTGACATCGTCTGAAGGTTGTGGCTTATAGGGGTTTCCCACCTTCAAGGCAGGTTGTCTAGGTGGCCGCGATTTTTAAAGGGGCTTGAGTAATCGACCACAGAAAAAACAGCTGATTATGAATTTAGACGATTAATCGACTCAATTTACTAATTGCCACAGCGCTCGTCTCATTTTAATTGTTTCTAATTTATCTCATTTGAACAAGATTGTTTGGTCCCAAAGACTAAATGCGGTGTTGGAAAGTAGTTCGCATGAGTAATGAATAATTTAACGCACCAACTTGAATATATTTTTTTAATTCACTTTCATCAAAGAACAGTTGCATTCCAAGTGCAATGTGCGTGGTGCGCGCATAGTTGCACGAGGGACTCACATCGATGGGCCTCGTGCCGGCCGGCTGGAAGATAAGTCCGTCCACCTCGTGGCTCACTTGCTGCACAAACTTCCCCTCCAGCAGCTGCCAACAGAGAGGTACACACATCACACGGGCACCACACACGCACCAGGTAAGCCCAGGTGCGCACACGCACTTCCACAGCAGGTGCTGCTAACTCAGTCCTGCCTTAGTGGTGTTATCAGCCAATTAATTAATCAGTTTAACACGTAGGCCTTCGCGACCAATATCATCCAACATACAGGTTTTTTTTTGGGCTAGATCGCGTAAATATATGAGGAACGTAACAGGGGTATTTCTCCACAAATCTGGCTGTTGCCTGATGAAGCTAGTTGTAATTACTGGCGAAACGTCGTACTCAGATTGTAAATGTTGTGGCTTTGCTCTCCAACACACCGGTGTTGCTGTACTCGTAACGAATTGGCCATGTTCTGTTTACGTGACAAACCTTACGGATTGGCTGTGTCGGGAGGTGGTGGGTTTAACGACACGTTTATATATTTAGGCAATCTCACCCAAAAAAACTGTATTATGGATTAATTAATTAGTGTTTACATAATAAAGGTTGTGGATTCACTCTTCAACACACCAGTGGGCTATAGTAATGAACTATTTGTCTTTTGTCAACGTGACACATTATTTACTGATTGGCCATGTCGGGTGGTGGAGGGTTGCGACACATTTATAAATAACGCGATCTAACCCAAAAACCTTTATTATGAATAATATTGGTCGCGAAAGCCTACGTGTTAAACTAGTGTTTACATTCTAGATTTGAAGCTTTCGGTAAAGTCACGTAGGTAAAAATAAAATAACACGACGTTTCGGCCACAACACAAGTGGCCTTCATCAGGTGAAGGGACTGGACTGTCCAGAGGACAGCGTTGGAGTGAAGACAGCAAGCCCAGGTCGTGTCCTTTAAGCTTGTTGTCGTGACAACAAGCCAGGGGGTATGGCAAGCCAGAAGACAAGGCTCACAATGCTCAGTCAAGTCCCAGGCGATAATAAAAAATGGATTTAGGAAAAAATAATTAAGACACCAGCATTTACTTCATTTTGCTCGGTACACCAATGAAAGGGGACTTTCACAACATTTGTGTGAGCCACCAACCCTCACCGCCACAGTGCTGGATAACAATCGTGCGCCACCACCGCCCAGCGAATTATGTATTGAATGTCAGCCTTGCTACTGGCTATTCTCGGCTGACTGTGTTGAACCTCGAGTGATTATTTTTTACAATAAAGCCACACTATGGCATGCTTTCAAGCCTGTCTTTTAAGGGAGCCGTCATTTTCGTATGAGCTGTCATAGAATATATAAATGTTTTCATGAAAGACAAACACACGTACAAAACGGACGCACACATTAAGCATGCTTTTTGAAATATACAAAGTATCCTCCGACAGATCATATGTACAGATATATTATTTCCCGGGCATAGCAATAATTGGCTCCATTAAAAACTGGAATTGTTTACGTTGGCAAACATTTTAGCTTTAACGATCGAGATGCTAAGCCAGAAGCTGGGTTACACTTCCTGCCAGAAATGGATCCACTAAGCCAGCTGTGACCAAGAGTGATTAGCTCTAATGTGCAAACCCAATTTTGGTAACAAACTGTGCGCTTTAAAAATGGTTTTCAAAATAAAAACCTTCAAATAGACGATAAACCTACCACCGCCAATGCCCACACAACTAAAGGCCCTTACCCGCTTATATGAATGCATGGGTATCATAAATATAACTCATGAATTTCTTCCTTAGACCATCAGCCAACTAATATAGTAGCATTTATGCTCCATGTGCTACAGAAACCAACGCTGAAAAAATATAACATAATGCATGTACCAGTTATCATGTGTATATGATTTCCTTCAAAATTAGATTTTACTATTTACATTTACTGCTACATATCTTATTAAACTAGACAGACTTATTAAATTATCTCACCACCAGCCCGGGAAAGGTAGTCAGAAGTGATATCGTGAATTTCAAAGCGCAGTCATACTCGCGTATTTATGGACCCTTTGATAACCTATGACACAATTCAAGACCTTCTGGTTGGAAATACAAGGAACTCAGCCTATGCACACCAGGGCACCCTTTAAAATTCAGAGCTCGCGTTCTGCACACAAATGAACGTGGCACAAACGCTAAAGTAATACCACATACATCCAGCCAAGTGCATTACAATATCCATCTACAGAAATCCTCGAGGCACAAGCAGTCTCAGGAATATGCCTCTGTGGAGCTGCACAATATTCATTCAAATGCTTCTATTATTGAATTTGCATTTTTTTTCCCTTGTCAGCCCTGTTGAACTGCAAACAATATCTTCATGGCATTGAAGTGTTAACGGAGACTTAAGTCATCTCGGCAAGGCTACCTGGGCTGAAAGCCGATCCACCGGCATCGTAGCCCAGTCCAGACTAGACCATCAACCGTCTTGAAGTTGCAAAATCCAGTTGTGTTTTTTTTTTAAAGCTCTGCAACAGCAGATGATAACTAGAATGTGATCACCATAGAACACATTACATGTACAGTAAAGCCTTAGATTGCGAGTAACTTGGTCTGCGAGTGTTTTGCAAGACGAGCAAAATTTTTTTAAATAAATTTTAACTTGATAAACGAGCGAGGTCTTGCAATACGAGTAGTACGTATACGCTTTGTCTGCCAAGCGTCACGTGATCACAACTAATATACGAGTGCTTTGATATACGAGTGCTTTGGATTACAAACACGTTTCTGGAAATAATTATGCTCGCAATCCAAGGTTTTACTGTATTTGTCACAAAACGAAATTGGTGGAAGGAGAAGTGGTACCGTGGTTAACACACTATGCTATGAAACCAGAGTCCGAGTTTGATTTCCGGCCATGGATAACTTGAACAGCAAGTAGAATCCCAAACGATTCCAAGCACCACCTCCCCTCCCCTTTATAAAATTGCACTGACCAATGTGGTGAAGTATGGTCAAACAACCCCCATGCCTGACACAGTGTGGACAAGTGTCCATCCTGCCGTGGACTAACAAAGGTATGTAATTATTTACGGTTTTTTTTCAATCGTAACACTGGTCTACAGCCAAAATAAATGTAGTCCAACTTTACTCATTCTGGGTCACTGAGAATGAAAATGCTTAAAATTGTTGATTGGCTCTAGTCTTCAAAATATTCTACTGGGAATGGCAGAGGATAACTGAGTGATACAGGGAAGGGATCCCAATTTAAGCCAAAAATTACTAAAATACATCTTTGACTGGATCTATGAATACATTTATAACTGGGTTTGGACAGTACTTGCTTTTTGAGCAAAACAATGAATGATGCAATCTGAACCTGGTATTGTGTCATACATTATATTAATTGCATCATATTATTCCTAGAAGTCAATCATGATGCAATCAGAACGAGGCTTACATCCCTCTGCTGAACAAATTGCTTAAGAAATCATACAGTATAGGAATAGGTTTTACCCTTTTAACTGGCACAAAAACTGACACATTTATTCAAGGCATCATGTTTGCAATAACCACAACACAAGCAGTCAAAATGCAAACAAAAAAGACAACTCTGATAATAATATGCACTTTCCTTGAATTTGATTGGTCCACACCCGAGACAGCTTTTCTTAGAGCAAAGTCTCCATTGGTGTTGGACCAGAAGACGCCAAAAGGCGTACAACTCAAAAACAGCGCACTATCAGAGTATTGAGGGCTCAGGGTGAGCATTTACATTATGAGACCTCCTTTGCCAGAAACAAGATATAGGAATAGGTTTTACCCTTTTAACTGGCACTTTGACTGCTTGTGTTGTGGTTATTGCAAACATGATGCCTTGAATAAAGGTGTCAGTTTTTGTGCCAGTTAAAAGGGTAAAACCTATTCCTATATCTTGTTTCTGGCAAAGGAGGTCTCATAATGTAAATCATACAGTGTCGTGCTCTCTTATTTGTCAGTGTTTGATTGTGCAAGGGGACACATTTCTGTTTAGCCAAAGTGAGCAGAGATGCCTCGTACTTGTGAACAAAGCAGAGAATGTCTGCTATGTTTGTGGTGAAGTGACTTTTGCATCACAAAAGCACCGTATAACCACTATGGTTAAGAAAGCCTATCACCTTTATTTTGGCTGCAAAATGGGAGATCAGGACAAGATGTGGGTCCCACACATATGCTGCAACACTTGTGCAACAAATCTTCGCCCGTGGTTGAACAGGAAAAGGAAATATATGCCTTCTGCAGTGCCAATGATTTGGAGAGAGCCAACAGATCATATCAGCGATTGTTACTTCTGCATGGCACCTCAGTTGGGAAAGGTGTGTCAAAGAAGAATAAGTGGACTGTGCATTATCCAAACATTCCATGAGCTATACACCCAGTACCCCACGGAGAAGGACTGTCGGTTCCTGATGTACCAGAATCACTCACATGAGTCAGACGAGGAAGAGGATGAAACTTTTGGTCCTGAACCATCAAGGTCACATGACCCAGATATCTCCCATCCTCCTCCTCCTCTAAACCACACCTCATAACACAAGGTGAACTGAAAGATCTTGTCAGGGATTTGGAACTACCCAAGAGTAAGGTAGAGCTGATGGGCTCCAGACTACAGCAGTGGAATCTCCTGGCAGGTCATGTTAGGGTTTCCATGTTCCGTAATCGTCAAAAGGATCTTGTCCCATTCTTCTGCATGGAAGGTGATCATGTAGGCTGTGACAACATTGATAGTGTCATGGCAGCCCTCAATATCGTTCATGATTCAGATGAGTGGAGACTGTTAATTGATTCATCCAAGATGAGTCTTAAAGCTGTTTGCTGCATAATGGCAATGTTTTGCCATCAATTCCAGTTGGTCATGCAGTCCATATGAAGTAAACCTATTACAACATGAAACAACTTTTGAGGTGCATAAGTTATGACCAACGTCAGTGGCAGCTTTGTGGTGATGTGAAGGTTGTTGCTCTCTTGCTTGGTCTGCAGACTGGTTACACAAAGTACCACTGTTCTCTCTGCGAATGGGATATTCGTGCAAGAGACTCCCACTACATCAAGATAGATTGGCCACTCCGACAGTCATTGGAGCCTGGGAGGAAAAGTGTTCAGCATCCACCACTTGTTGAATCAAGGAAGATTTTGTTACCACCCTTACACAACAAGTTGGGTCTGATGAAGAACTCTGTCAAAGCCATGGACAAAACACAAGCAGATTTCAAGTACCTCCGTGGAAAATTTCCAAGGTTAAGTGAAGCTAAGTTAAAGGAAGATGTCTTTGTTGGTCCTCAGATTCGTGAACTTCTTCGAGATGATGCATTTGACAGTAAACTCCGTGGCAAGGAAAAGACGGCACGGAAAGCCTTCCAGTTAGTGGCAACAAATTTTCTCGGAAACAACAAGGCAGACAACTACAGGGAGTTGGTGGAAAACCTCAAGGCATACAAAAGCCTTGGTTGCAACATGTCACTAAAGATAAAGAAAATTTGCAATCTCATCTAGATTTTTTTCCACCGAACTGCGGAGCAATGAGCGACGAGCATGGCGAGCGATCTCACCAGGACATTGCGACAATGGAGAAACACTATCAGGGCAAATGCAAAGAGACAAGCCAAGAAGCACCGAGTGGTCACTGAATAGGAACTAAGCTATGTACTTATAAATCTTGACTTAAAGCTTTCGTGACTGCAGGAATTCATACTCTTTGGGTCGGTAAAGTCACGTAGATAATTATTGTATTATTTTTCTATCTACATGACTTTACCGAAAGACCCAAAGAGTATGTACTTATGTATATGTACATAATAGTTTTGTTGCCTTTTGTTTCATAATAAATGTTATGTATATAACCCTTCTGCTGATTTTTTTAAGTGTTACATGAACAGGACAGGTGACATGTTATCATGTAAAGCAACCATGAACACATGAAAAGACCTAGGTTTACAATTTATGAGTAAAACTCTATCTACACAATATACATAAACGTAAAATGTAAAAATGTTCATATGTTTGAGGACAGTAGCCAATCAGTTGTGTTAATTGTCATATTTGAATTCAGCATACAAAAATCCATAATAAACAGCACATTTAATCTCTGAAGCAGACGACGTCTAAAAAATTGTAGACCAGTATAATTGGTGTCACTGAATTGACCAATTTTTACCTTGGCCATGGTACACGACTCCTAATCCCTTCACTCCTCGCTCCCTGACCAATGCATGTAGTGGCCAGGAGGCTACACACCTCTGCTGTACTGCATCTTCCAACCCACGGCTGCAGGGCATTTGACTCTACACACAGCGGCAGCAACAGCGTTGCGAACAACTGCCTTTATATCATAGGAGAGACCGCTAAGTGCATGGACAGAATAACGACACTATTACATTTGGTAACTCTTGTGATAAACGGAGGCATTTCACAAATCAGTGCTAACAAAGCCACGGAGTAATAAGTGTTAAGTCATTTTACATCGTTCTACATTTGTATTCTCATAACGACCCGGTGTTAAAATCCAGCCCATTTGTTTGTGGCTTCAATTAAGGCTATTTGGATATGTCACCTTCCAGCTTTGCAAAGAGGCTAGTGGGGAGACATTTTTTTTATTTTCGAAATGTACCCTGCATAAGGAAATGTAACGAAATTATGCTTTTATATTTATGATCAACCATCACTGTATCTCTATAAGTCATATTGTGGTAATGGAAAACTATGCAAATATCCTTACGTTTGTTTTATAGCATGCTGATAGGGTTTTTTTCTTTAGGCTCATGACTAAGCATCAACACCTACATGCATTTCATTGCAGCACCTGTGATGCCTCCGGGTGACACGAAATGTAATTTTGTAAATTTATTCATTGAAAGCCAAAATGAAAACATATAAAAATGTTGTTTACCTTCCATTTTAGTGATGTTCAAGAATGTTGTTAAAGTACCAATTATGCGTAATATTCCTGCCAGACTTTATTATTATTATTTCTACTTTTAGCCACTGATAAGACAACACAAATTTGAAACAATGCTCTTTCAATAGAATTCCATAAATAAATATGCTGCTACTGTCAGAACAGATTATGTCTAACTCTCCACATTCTAATTTGGAAACATGCATTTAGAGTATTTGGCTGCTAGAAATTTCCACATAAGCCACTTCATTTGTGACCAGGTTGCTTCTGAAAAAGAGCTATGTAGCTCAGTTGGCCTGACCTGGTAAAATAAAAAATGTAAAATAGTAAAATAAAACTGACGACGAAAGTGGTGCAATCCACAATCTTAAAAAAAAACTGCATAGCCCTATATATAAATTCACAATAAACTTACCTCAATACCAAATGCAATCAATCATTTCAATAGCTTGACCTCGTGGTGCATGTTATTAATCGAGCACTTTGCATGCAAGGCATGGTGGATCACACTAATATGTATGAAACACCCAAAAATGCTTGGCTGCGAGGTGGCCAGATGACACTCCAGTATTCCCTCGCTATTTGCGATGGATACGTTTCGCAGATGCTCGTGATTTGCAAATTTCGCGGATACGAATATCATACAGCGCAACATCTACAGGTGCTTCTAAAGCTTCGAGAAGTTCTCTCTCTCTCTTTATTTCTCATCAATTAATCTCATTATTTTCTCTCTCGTCACTTTATCTCATCATTTGTCACATCACATTCTCTCTCATCGCTTTCTCTCTCTCGATGCAGTCATGTAGAGCTACAGATGCGATTTGTGGATAGCCAAAATTGCAGATAGGAAGTTCGTGAATCACGAGGGAATACTGTACAGCAAATGGGTTGTGAACCCATCTGTGCACAGCGTAAACATTATCCCCTCAAATACATGGAGTTTCTACAGGTACTTCTTTATCCTTTAACACGTAAAATACAAAATATATATAACTGGCGAAACATCCCCAACAGCGTTATTTTTATTGGATATGTGGATATTTTCAGCCCTTTGTCAGCCCCACTGCTGGATGGTGGCATCCCTAGGCCTTGCTGGTTAGTGTAGGTTGGCGAAGGTGGGTGGCCAGGAAGCAAAGATGTGGGAGCACACAAGTACAGTCCGACAATTAATTTAGCTGCACTTCCCCTGTGCTGTCCACCACGTATCCCCGCTGACTATAACACCTGTTGTGCATGATGGTTGCTATTCAGGCTCAGCCCTGCTTAGCCTCTGAGGTCTTTGTTCATAGGCATGATAATTATTCCATTTAATAATTTCCACACAGAAATAAATTGAGTCTCATTTGCTATCAGGCAAAAAAGATTTTGCTCACTCTGGATCCAGACTGTGAAGTTAAATAGTCTGCTGTGATCCCGACACGCAGATTGTCAAACAGTGGAGAAGGACTGTGATGTTAAGAAATGAGGCACGGGTTCGCCAGGGTGGGGAGGTAAGCAGGAACGTGTGGGAGAGAGGGTGGGCACTCACGGAGCGCGACTGCGTCACGTCCCAAAAGGGCTTTGCGCGTACGCTGAATGGCTCCATCGCCTTGTTGATGTGTCCTGCCTTCATCTTCTCGTGCCGCGGCTCGATGATCTCGCGCTGGATGCACTGCTGGCGCGTCCTAAAGTCGCACTGGCCCACGGGCTGGCCCTGTCACCACCGCCAGCGCCGGCAGCAGAAGGGACAAAGGCATGAGCGCGCACACCCACACCCACGTGGGCAAAACAACACGAAAAAAACTCCATTTCAAACAGGTCCTTATTCCTCTGGCACGACCCGTCAAAACACAAAACGGAATGCGGTAGCTGAGCCATGAATACATCGGCGATATTTCTTTAAGGCTCGATAAACCATTCAGAAGTGCAGGCAGTCTAAGAGAATACATTAACACTGAAGCGTGGCACGTTAAGGACGATGTCGTCCTACAGGGAAACAGCGCTACACTCTACCTGCATTTATAGCTGTACATCGCAACTTTCCCGGAGATGACAGACACGCTACTGCATCTCACATTACTGCTACAACACACCAATAACATCCAGCTTTGCTTTCTAGAAATTCAAGTTATGAGTAAATGCACTTAGTTGATTAAACATTAAACATAATTGACATGTCGTGTAAAAAACAAAAAATATATATAATATACTCATGTTTCAGAGCCAATTCTCAAAAGTGTATGTTATCTATGTTTGTTCCAATGGAGTGTTACTGACTAAAATTGCTAGTTGTTTTGTTTTACTGCAATATAAGTGGCTTCTGGCAAATACAATGAAGCACACCACTTACACTGTGCTCACTGTGTTCTGAAAACTACTCTTTCCTGACTATTTAACACTATTCAACACCTCCTATTAGCACGGTTGTCTATGTACACACATGTATGCTGAACTTATTTCACATACATAACAGAATCTAACTCACAGCTACCTTTCAATTATTCACGTGGCAATAATTACTCGTGGTGGTCGTATATTCTGGCCATCAAAAAGGGACAGAATAGCACATGAATGTCCCAAGGCCACATTTAAGCCCCATCTCAACAGGGAAAGTGGATTTAATCCGAGTGGAGCCGGTCAGCGTGCACCCTCTGCTGCTCATAAACATAAACGCACGTGATGACTGGGAGCACACCCTGCGGTGATGAATTAAATAGATGGTACTAAATGTTCTGAGATTATTGGACGAAAGAGTTTCATTTTACTTGTTACCTTTCTTGGCTACGTAAACAACAAACATCTGGCAAATATTGTGCAGTTGTTTCACTGCGAGTAAGGAATCTGCTATGATTCTCAGCAATGGGCAAGAATCTGCTGCTGTACTTCCCAGGCAAAATATAACGCCAGGGGTATGTTAACCCGTGTACGCATACCAGCAGCTGTTCAGCACAGCAGGTAAGATTATCCAGCTAAAGGCAGGTAAATGAATCCTGCAAACTAAGCTCTATTCCCGTCACGACTAAAATCAATCAATCCAGGACCCAACCATGATTAACCCACAATGACCAGTGTGGTGATTGATGGGGAAATAAAACCGCTCAAGAATGAAATGGATGGGAAGGCCTTCATCCGTCAGCAAGCAGACTATGCTTTAGACAACTTCACAAGTTAGCGGGTGGCTGGGTGGCAGCAACCATCTGTACAAATTACGGCATTGAGAAAACGTCTCACGTTGAATTTGACGATATCGTAGATGAGGTAGCGAGGAACGTCCTGCCCATTCACCTTGTCGACGATCATCTCCTGCACATAGCATGGAGGGACATTCGAGATGATTAGTTGTATTATTTTTTTCCCCATGTACTTATGGCACCACGGCACAAGAAGAAGGCATTTTCATTCGTAACTCTCACAGCTCGAGTGCACAAGCATACGTCAGAGAACAGCCCAGGGATATAACATTGTGAACTACTTCTGAAGCCATTTCAATATGCTCTGTAAAGAGTGTTCTTCCCATGTCAATCAAACGGATTTTAAAAATAAAATGTTGGTACAGGAATAATAAACTAGTAAGTGATTACACTTGAGAACTTGGTTTAATAACCTGACGGTCACCAGGACTCTAGCCCAGGAATTCAAGTTCACCGCTCGCACAGTCCTCATTCTGGCTCCCGACAGCTCCCACGGCAATGGATTTTAAGTATATATTTTTCACACACGACGCCTCCCTGCCCCAGGTATTGTGTTTGGGCCCTGCTGTACAATTTGAGCAGCTCACCCCGTCCAAAAGCGTATTGTTGATGTGGCTGTCGGGGTTCTTGCGGTTCGGGAACTCGAGGCTGGCGACGTTGAATATAATATTGTCCCTGTTGATCATGAACACTCCGTTCTCGCCATCGATGAGCATCATGTACCTGTGGAGGAGTGCAACACCAGCGGAGAGGAGGCATGCAGTGTCGATACGAACAAGGAGGGTAAAAGGGTGACATGCAGACAAGTGAGAATTTGACTTTTCTCTCTTCACTTAACCTTAAGCATGTAATCATTCATCTTCCCCTGCGATATGATGAATGGTCATTATATGATTTAATGTAATGTTTTTTTTCATCCTGGTGTCACTGTATGTCATGTCTGATAGGCCGTTTGTTTCATTAGCCTCAACGTAACATTTGCATAGCCTGTTTAAGTCGAAAACAATCCGTGATTACAAGAATTAATCAAAGCATGCACCGCGAGTGTAAAATCCATTTCAATTGATGTATTCATTAGTTATTGCATTCCATCTGATCCTGATTATAAGGTTATTGTGCAATTTAATAAAGTCTCCCCCCTGTGTGAAAAACGAAAATAAAATAGCTGTTGAAAGTACACAGAGACATCACATTGGCTGTTAGGTAAAGTAAGTGGACTTGGGGAGGACACTTTGCCAAAAGGGAGGGGAGCAAAGAGAACACCCCCCTAGACCCCAGAGGGCAACCAATGTTGACATTAAGCAGATAGAATAATATAAAGGTGATTACAATAATGGTAAAAAGTTTGCATGAAACTTGATTTTATAAAAAAAATACAAAACTCGCGATGCATTCCCAAATCCTTAACCACTAAACACCAGTAATAGATCACACCACTGCAGTTCTCAGACCCCATCAACTGTGTCTCGATTCGATCTCTTAATCAACTACAAGCTTGCCCTCATCATCTCCAAGATTTCACACATTTACAAGCCCTATCTACCTCTCTCATCATCTTACCATACCCTTCGCCAGCTCTTTACTCCAGCAAATAAGACCTTCTCTACAATCCCCTTCTTTGAATATATTTTCAATGAGGGGCTTCTTCTTCTCTGCTGCTATGCCTAAGGTTTGGAACTACCTCTCCATGGCAAGGTTTAAAACATTATTCTTTCTCCTCAGCTTACGACTGGCCACTTCCATCTATTCGTGTTTTAGTAACCACATAAGAAGTATTTTCAATGTACCTCCCTTTCCTATAACTTCCCCTTAAACTAAAATCCCTCTTTCCCCAGCCTCATAATGTGTATGTCTGTGTACAGCATCTTGAGATGCGTTCAGATTTAAACAACTTCATACATTAAAACTGTACGCAAAGTAAATGCTCCCGGGATGGCAGGCAAGTACTTACCGCGTGCCGTCAGCCTTCCAACTGACCATGTAATGCTTATTGCTGAGGAACACCAAGTTCTTTCTGTCCATAGATACGGGCTGAGCACCTGGAAAGCCAGACCTGTGTTGGCAGCAGCATGGACACAGAAAAACAAAAAATCAATCCGATGAGCTATGAAGCAACAGACAATATAAAACACGATGATAGGAGTGCAAAGTATAGGAAAGGTAAGCAAATCAATGTTCCATTTATATTCTTAGTTCTTTCGGTAAAGTCACATTGAAGGGAAACAACAAAATAATAATATATATAAAACAATAAAAAATTCTCACGACGTTTCGACCATAACACAAACGGTCGGCTTCAGGTGTGTTGGTTTGCATAAATTTATTTTTAAACGGTGCATTTATTTATTTATAAAAAACGTTAGCGCCACGCGCAGCGATTTGGCAGTTTATTTAGGACTAGTCCATCTATATTCTGAAAAGAGGAGGGGGGAGACGAAATTTTTTTTTGTATGCTGTCTGAAAGCCACTGTAAGCGTGAACAATCAATTAAGACCTGAAATGGTTTATCAAATCTTTCCAATGATTGCTAAGATAGAATCCATCTTCTCGGTTGAAATTGTCTCTGTGCTTGTATATGTGGATAGCCTCATGAACGAATCTCTCATGGTAGCCAGATGGCTTACAAAGAACCTCTAAATAAATGCACCGTTTAAAAATAAATTTATGCAAACCAACACACCTGAAGACGACCGTTTGTGTTATGGTCGAAACGTCGTGAGAATTCTTCTTTGGTTCTTTTGGTAAAGTCACGTAGAATGAGAATAAAATAATAAATTGATAAAATAAAATAACACAATAATATTCTCACGACGTTTCGGCCACAACACAAGCGGCCTTCATCAGGTGAAGGGAGCGAGACTGTCTGGTAGGACAGTGACTTTACCGAAAGAACCAAAGAAGATGAATCATTGCAGTCACGAAAGCTTTAAATCGAAATTTAACGTCGTGAGAATTTTTGATTGTTTTATATATATTATTATTTTGTTGTTTCCCTTCAACGTGACTTTACCGAAAGAACTAAGAATATGCATTACTGCAGTAACGAAAGCTTTAAATCAAAATGTTCCATTTGTTCACCAGAGGCGTGACGCGAGGCTCACAGCTCGAAGTATCCATCGTAACCTTCAACCCACTCTTAGGCCAGGCTCGTTAAAAGCCTACGTCCAGTAAAATTAATTGACTCTCTTGCAATTGTATCGGCTACTGTCCTTGTCTCTTTATCAATAACCACATATAGCTCCAACATAAGCTAGGACTGATATTTGAGTGCTAGCTGCAACTACGCGAGGGCTTCGTGAACGCGGGTCAATGTGACACACAACATAGAGGATCTGTTCAGTAAGAGTGGTCTGCAGGTTACACATTTTCCCATCTGTGGAACACCATACCCTTTCCACATGCAGAATTCCTGGCCCTTGCGCTGCACCATGGAGATTTTATGCTGGGTGGTCATCTGCGTGACGCCAGGCACTTGGACACCTTCCAGGAACACCACGCCCTGTGGGACAGTGGCATTGTACGGATGTCACGAAATGGTGATACGAGGATATATATATACGATGCAAGGTTCGCAATGGTCTTATCATTCGTTTCACAAAAACATTGTTACATGCTGATTACACTGTGTAACAAAAAAAAAATGTTCCTGGGTAGAAAGTGTTATTTCCTAATTGCTTATGCCTCAAAAGCACAGAAATTTACTATTATTCCCCAAAAACTTTGCTTCTGTGACCAGGACAGTGATATTTTGAAATGTACCTATTCTCAATGAAAAAACGTGGTGTGCATTTTGTGTCTTTCATTCACGAAAAGTTCTGGTCACAAAAGCAAAGTTTGTGGGGAATAATAGCCATTAGCTATACTTTTTAGGCATAAACAATTAAAAAAATAACATTTAGTACCCAAGAACAACAAGTAAAGTCACGTTGAAGGGAAACAATAAAATAATATAATATATATAAAACAATAAAAAACAATTATGTTGCAAATAAATAGCTATTATTCATTAAATTACTGCTTTGCAAAATGTTTTCAGGAGTAATTGATGGCATGGTAATTATACGATAGGTAAAACAAATGTAATAATTTTTGTAGTTCTCCTAATTATTCAATTATTTCATCGGTTACTGGCAGCATGTGCATTTTAAGAAATATATATTATAAAGTCAGAATGCTTGGAAGATTTATGGCAAGCTCATGTTGAGTGAACTGCAGCAGAATAACTTTTAAGTAATCTACTGATCCTCAAAGTACAGCGAATAATTAAAACAATACAATTACACAGTTATGGGAACACCGAAATTACAAAAACCTTCATAGAGTTGCTTTTTTATATCGTATCGTACAGTATGACATTTGCTGTAGCCCTTGTACCTCCCTTCGTATAAAATGTTGTAAAAATCACACTGCTTTTGGAAATTGGGATGATGCGGTGCACACAGTTGTACGGCTGGAGGACAGACAGGGTTATAGGCGATGTGAGAAATACAGCATCACACTCACAGTGCGAAAGATCTCCCTGCGATTGCGACCGGTGTGGGTCCCGCCAGACGAGCTAGGCGCGGCTCCATGTGCGGGGACGTCACCGTCATCATCGAGCCCGGCATCGCCGTCGTCAAACTCCAGGCACCAGTCTGGCAGTGGTGGAGGCGCTGGCGTGTCCTCGGAGTCGCCATATCGGCCGAACAGGTCATCCAGGTAGTCACCCTTGTAAATGCCGGGCGGGCGGGCGCGGCTGAACTCCGCCACGGCTGCTTCCACGCTGCACACCAAACAAGGCGAAGAGCGTTCCACACGAGACAGAAGCCAAACGGCCGTAAGCACATGAGAAAGGGCACCATGGTGGTGTGAGCTGTTAACTACCTCGCCTGGTATACAGGTCGTGAGTACGATTCCACCCATGACCCCTGTTAATTTGGAGTTTGCATGTTCTCCCAGTGCTCGTGTGGATTTTTCTCCGGGTCCTCCCGGTTTTCCCTCCACATTTAGTAACGTGCATTTAGAGTATTTGGCTGCGATACATTTCCGCACGCCAAGCCAATTCGTTGAGCCGTCATTTGTGGCCAGGTCACTCCTGAAAAAGAGCTAGAAAGCCCAGTGCGCCGTACCTGGTAAAAAAAAAATATATATATATTTTATAGTTTTTATCGAGCCATTTCGGCCAGATTACAACCCGAATGTGGGGGCCGTGAAAGGGAAGACGAACCCACCTCCAGTCCAGCTTCTCTACAAGGTAGGCGCAAATGAGGAAGCCGGTGCGGTTGAAGCCGTGTGTGCAGTGCACCCCTGTGGAAGCAACGGGTGGCCATGGGTCAGTGAGCTGTGTTCAGAGGGTGCTTGAGACAGGTATCCACACGATTCGTCTTGTGCTTTGATTGACAGCATCGTTTATTAAAATGGGATTTTTCAGTGGCTGGCGTACTGTAGCCAAAATACTACAGTTGCACATTAGCTTCGATGCACATGGACTTTAATAGATTCTACGGGATATGTAAAGATTTACCTCCCCCCAGAAAATTGACGAATTGTCACGATTCATGAAAATTATTTGATTCAAGAATACATAGTAGGGTCTCCTTTCTATGGCCTTTGTGTTTGTTCTGCCTCTTGTTTTACAAAGGGAACATTTACGTATACAGTAATCATCACATATATTGCATTAATCAATCGTTATTTATACACATGAATCGTGAGGAAGAAGTATCACTTTTAAATAAGTGATCAATTAATCATTACACGTCCCGCTTGTATGATGATGTGTGCTTTGCCATTCTTGTCAGAGCTTGCCTATGATTTTCTGTGGGTTTTTCTTGATGTAGTTGTCGCAGAACTTGACAAAAACCTGTGTATGTTCAGGCAATGGGCACTCCCCATGTCTGCAAGAGACACAAAAAATTTACCAAACTTATCTGAATGGTAGATATGCGGTAGATGGGCATCTTAGTAAGACGTGCATATGTCTACAAATTGACCTTATGTGTCAATTGAACAGTTTAACTGCGAAGTTATGGATCCTCGACAAATCTAACTCTATTCCCAAATGTCTATAGCGTAAACTATATGCATGCTATGGCATACAGGATAAGGTATGTGCGTCATTGGCATTTCTTGGCTGGCTAACCGCACTTCTGCCTGGTTGTCAAACGCAATAAAACCTTTCATCTTCCATTATATCTGTATGGCTTGACAGCTTGACAGCTTGGTAAGTGATCCATAATCCTCCCAGGACCTCTTTCGGGCATACATAATTTTGTTTGAAAGTTATACAAGTATAAATGACTTTCGATGACCGCATCTCAAGATGCAAAATAAACGTCATGGTTATAAAATAAACCATAAGACTCTGAACACTAAATACCACACTATCAATGCGTTCCCTACCCCCGGCAATACAGCTTGAAGTAGGTAATTCCAGCATCTTCAATTTCCTTCTTGTCGTAGAAACGATTTGTGTTGGTCAGGTCAATCAGTACACCCATCTCCACCTGCCAGGAGCACAAGAGGAAGGCAATAGCATCACTTCCACATCAAACCCAGAGCCTTTTCCGACTCCAGAAAAATACGATTTCGGAAAAAGGGCCAAAAGACATTTGCAGTTTGTTTTAGTTATCCATAACTGGTATTACAGTGAGTATATACAATGTGTAACACTTAGTAAATTCACTATAATATGAAGGCGGTTCCCATCCCATGTCGGTCACAGGGCTTTATGATCATACTTCAGCACACTGGTCAATGGAGGTTCGTGAAAGGGGGAGGCCTAACAACCAGTTCAGATATCACTCACTGCTGTTAGCCGTGGATATAAATTAACCTCGGGTCCTGGGTTCAGAGCACAGTGTGCTAACCATTGTGTCACCACTACAAACATTAACATACATGCCACGTGAATATCTGGTCGGGTAGGGAAGTGATTTAGAGTACACAGCTCTCAATAAGAAATCTGCAAGTTAAAATCCTAGTCGGGGTGAACTAAATCCTTTGTTTCAACATCATTAGACCTCCACTGCCAGTACCAAAATGTAATAATAGGGTTTTTCCCCTTTTTTTCTGGCAACAAAACTTAAACCTTTTTACAAGGATTCATGTCTGCATTAACCACAATACCTGCAGTAAAAATGCAAACAAAAAACAGACTATGATAATAAATGCATTGTCCTTGAAACTGATTGGTCCACACGAAGGGACGGCTTTCTTTTGAGCCTCGACTCAATTGGTGCTCGACCAGTTGACGCCAGAAGGCGTCATCTGGTCGCCAAAAGGCGTCATCTGGTCGAGCACCAATTGAGTAGAGGCTCAAAAGAAAGCCGTCCCTTGGTGTGGACCAATCAGTTTCAAGGACAATGCATATATTATCATAGTATGTTTTTTGTTTGAATTTTGACTGCAGGTATTGTGGTTAATGCAGACATGAATCCTTGTAAAAAAGGTTTCAGTTTTGTTGCCAGAAAAAAAGGGGAAAACATTATTATTAAATCCTTTGTTATTCCAGGGTCAATAAAGTAATTACCACCAACTCGCACTGACTGGCATGGTGACGCATGGTCAAAAAAAACACCATAATCAACACAGCGTGAGGGGAAGTTTTCATCCACCAGTGGATTGACAAAGGGCTGCACGCATGTGAATGTAGCCGGATGTGCATGAGCATAATGCCAAAAGTTGCATGCAAGTAAGCGAGAGTGCTTGTGAGTGGGCAGCGCCAGTGGGTGGGTTCAGCACCTTGCGGCTCTTGAGATAGACTGAGAGCATAGAGGGGTTGAAGCGGCACTCCTCCGGGACCTGGTCGTCGTACCGCGTACTTAGCATCGTCTTCAGCGGCAGGAACCTCTCTGCGGGGAGTTGACAGTAGAAAAACAAAATGCCCGATCCTGAAGAAATACGTAAAATGGTTCTAGCTGGTATTCAATCATAAAATGACAAGGGTGGCAAAAAATATATTACACGAGCACCTTTTTTGCCTGTCAAATTTTCTCCTGCCATTCCAAAATAGAAGTCTTTCTGCAAAAAGCTGATGTGTTTATCTTGAATGTTTCAAGTGGAACATTCAATTTAGGGTTGGGATGAAGAAAAAATCTAAAGTTTATCTGGGGAAATTACAAAAGGTGTTTTATATCCAAGAAAGAGCAGCTGGAAGAATATTTGATTGGCTCTGACCCTATATTTGAGGGAGGTCAATGGTGAAAAATGTGATTATTTCCTATGCTTGCTGTTGAATTGCATGACCCACAGCCACAGTACATGCTTTGGAATGTGGTTCAATCTCCACATTGCAGTTGCAAATATTGACCTGCTTTAGAGTACTCAGCCTATCACCCACAATGTCCCAGACCTCGTCAGATCTTGCATATCAAGTAAGTTTGACTCTCGATGGTCCTCGGATGGGAAAACACAATACACAGCAGGTTGTTATAGTCTGTGGGGCTACGTCGTGGAAATCAGAGGGTAGTGTAGAAAAATGCATTATTTTACTGTACTTGCTGCCCCCACTCTCCATCTTCACCAACCCATACTAGCCTGTGTCAAGTATGATCCCTTAACAGCATGGGGTGGCCCTCATCCAGCCATAAAGTGCTGTACAAGGTACATTACTCGCGAAAAGTATTTAATGCTCAGGTGATGACACAGAAACGTATTGGTAAGAAAATACAAGCCTTCCTAGATGTTATACTGTACTGCAAGCAAAGCTGGTGACAAGTCAACAGGATGCAACTGCTTGTTTCAAGGGTCTCAGAAAAAGTCAGCCATGCATTTCTTCCCCTGCATAATGAAACATATCCATTGACAGCAAACGTTTTTTTTTTCCAATTTAATTTTCCTCCCTCTTACGTGCTGTATATTAAAGTAAACATTGGATATTAAAAAAAGATCGAGTTAAAAGAAAAATCTCATTTAAGTCCAAGTATCACCCTGTTGAAATAATGGGACAAACTCATCACGGTGACAGCACTTAAAGACGGTGGTGGAAATTATGTTGCCGTGGCATGGGTTATTATGCATAGGAAAATTGCCAACTTCCCAAAAAGTAGGTGCTCATTTTATGGAGTGTGCAGTATGATAATCATGGACCAAATAAAACCGCTAGTATTGTAAATGTAGGGTATATATTCACATATTTTGGTTAAGTGAATTTAAGAAACTCAAAAAAACTATGTTCATTTGTATAAGGATTCCTATTTGTAATTGCAAAACCAGTTAAATATCTATAGACGCGATACGTGAGACCACATGGGCATGAGAATAACGGCGAGGGCAACTACACCACAAAGTTTGGACAGAGGTGGAAACCATGTATGCTGTGCCCCTTTCAATTAACACCCTTCATGGGTACCTCTTGGGCAATGAACCAGGAAGGCACACCAATTTTAAAATCATTCCGACACACCCAGAACAAAAGCCGCCCTCGCTCAAATTTGAAATTTGCAGCATGGCCACAGATGCACACATTGTCTTGATGGGCACAGATTTAAAAAAAAAATCCACCAGAAAACGTGGTCAACTCCATTGGGCCACCGATCGCAGTTGCCTGTAGTTAGTGCCCGTGACGTTGAGAGCCACAGTAGACGGCACTGTCTCCACAGGCAGGACCACAAAGGGGGGGCAGAAATTGCCATCAGAGAGGGCATCATCATCATCAACAAGGCTGGCTGCTTGCCTTACCGGCCACCAATTGCCCGCGCCTCGGGCAGTGCAGCCACCGCGGCGGGATGCTGTTGTGATTCATGTCCTGGCTTCTAATTCAGCTACGCGCTCGTGTGTTTCAAGAGGATGGTGGTGGTGGGTGGCGCGGGGAGACCCCCAGAGAGCCAACCACCAAAAAGTCGTCCCTGACCCCGACCACCCAGGGTTGACCTCCCCCCCCCCGCCCCAACCCCTTCACTGTCCGAGTTGGATCGCCTCTTGCCGGGCAGAGGGGCGAGGCGAGTTCGAGGCTTCACGCGCGGCCTCGTAGAACGGGCGGCCGGGCTCGCTCAAAAACAGACGGACGCGGCTGCGACTGCCGAACGGCCTTCGTCGTTTAGAGAAGAAGGTCTAACAGCCGGAGGAGACATTTCTTTCCGTGAAAGTCGGACTCGGCGAGCAGCGGTGGCGCAATTGCGACTGCAGACCGCCCATCGCATTCCACAGAGCGGCTATGCGAAGAGGAAGCGCGCGTATCGACTCATAATTAACCCGCACTCGAATCGATTCCTAGGTTTCCACCTGCGCGCTGTGTGGGACGAGGAAATCGAATTTGTAAGTCGGTGATTATAGAATCGATCCATGTAAATTTCTTACATTCAAATGTAAATGCGATGCTTGTATTATTGTTAAGCTTGTTTATCCCCAAGCAAAGCATCATCGAGTGTCAAGACTCTTATTCTTTGGGTCTTTCGGTAAAGTCACGTAGATAGGTTCAAAAAAAATAACAAAAATAAATAAAACAAGACTCTTGTTCAGGAGGGTTCCTGACAAAAGTCTTCCCAATTAGGGGTAGGGGTCAATGCTGCTGACACGTGGAACGTTCTTACCCGTCCCTACTGGACATCTGTGGGGGGGGGGGGGGGGGAGCTTTATAGCTCATCGGATTCCTCCTGCAGTATAAATGAATGGTATTCTGACATTCTGTGCACATCCTAAATTGCGCATTGTCATTTGCGGTTCAACTTTTCAAATGTCACAAAAGTCCATACGGCGTGTATATATATATTTATGGATTGTACACTCGGAGTAATAACCGGGAGGGACACTGGATTCGAGCCGCGAAACTATGAACTTTTTTTATTTACCAGGTAAGGCCACTGAACTATATCGTTTTTTTTCTTTCATAAGCGACTTGACTATCACAGATGATAGCTCAGCGAAGTGTCTTAGGGGCCGTCCATAAATGACGTCACGCACCTAGGGGGGGGGGGGGGGTCAGACATTTGTGACGATGTGTGACGAGGGTGGGGGGGGGGTGTTTGAGAAAGGTGACGTCACATCAAAATGCGCAACTTTAAATAAATATAGAATTGTTATAACAACACTAATTGTTATAACAACACTAATTGTTATAACGACACTCCTACAACATCAGAGTGCAGCGCCACATTAAATACGCACTACAATGGCAATAGTTAAAAGCGATTTGAAGCATTTTTTATTTTAAAAATGGAAATATGGGTGGGGGGGCAGAGCTTTGTGACGTCATATTTGAGGGGGGGGGGTCTGACTTTTTGTGACGCCGTGTGACGAGGGCGGGGGAGTCAAAATCGTCCAAAATCGCGTGACGTCATTTATGGACGGCCCCTTATCACGTGGACATTTAGAGCTGAAAATTACTCTAAACGCGTGATGCTGATTCTAAATGTGGTGGGAAGAACCGGAGGACCCGGAGAAAAATCCAGGATAGAGAGACGTGCACATTACAAATATGCAGGCGTCGGGATCGGACGCAAGACCTCCTGCATGCCAGGCGAGGTAGTTAACATCTCGCCATCATGGCACCCCTATGCAATACTGCCCCAATATTGTCATTAAATTGACAGTACAAAGTGGGCAGCATACAGGAGGCATTACAGAAGATAAGCCAGTGAAGTCTAAGGACGAGACAGTATAGCAGATTTAAATGAGACGATATTAATAACAAGGAAATGCTATAGCTGCCTGTACAGCAAGCACAAACGAGGTGGACAGTATCGACAATACGAACGAGAAGCAATCATAGACCAGATGGCCAGTGATAATGATGTATGTTGAACTTCTTTCGCACCATACGCAAGCCAACCGCATGAAATCGGATGTGCGCGGGAGAAGGACTACAAACAAACACACGAATAAAAACTGTTCTAAAAAAAAGGTTTTCAATGTAGACGATTTAAAAGTTGCATAGCTCCAATGGCTTCCTAATATCGGAAGGGAGAGCGCTCCAGACGGCCGTCAAAGCGCATCTGAAAGCGCCGCGCGAAGCGGTGACCAGTCTTCGATGGTGTCAACTTGTAACGTGCGCAGGCTCCGTTCCTCGAAGAAAGGGGACGACTCAGAGGCGTGAGGAAGAACCACAGACGAGCGGGAAGGCAGCACTTTATTCGTGAGAATGTTAACGCGATATTTGCTTTTCTTTCAGATTGGGTATTGGGTTCAAAAGGTGAGGGGTTTTCATGGCGCAGCCCTCCCAGAAGAAACCTATATAGTGTACACGTCAAATTAAAATACGTATATATCAGGCAATGAAGTAGTAGGCAATTACGTTTCAGAAAACTGGTGATTAAGATCATCCCGTCAAAGTAATGCGGGATTTTCAAATGCTAGTTGACTCAGAGCTTTATCGAGAAGACAAGAAATGCACCACCTTTTCAAAGCAGAAACCACTTTGACCTGTTCAGATTCATATATTTGATATGAAGTGACTCTTTAGTATGGTAAACTGAACTTTTCTTTGTGAGAGACTATTGAGACCAAGTACTGTAATGTTGATTCCTTAAATTTTTTATGAATGCAATATCAGTCAGCACCAGGGACAGCGCTTTTATAACTATGAATTATTGACCATCGTCAGTATTCATTTGTCTGTAATATACCCACAAATGTGATAGGCTGAAATATTGGCACAGAATTCATCGAAACGGAGTGAGCTACTATGTATACAGCTGAATTTCCTATCCAACCTACGGATTTCAGACACCTATCTGCAGATAAGCATGCAAATTAGCTGTTGGAAATCTCAGGTGGGGGAGGGAAAGGCAGATGGAAGCAGGGAGGGACGGTGACACGGAGATGTGGATTCACCCCTATAAAAAGTCGAAAGTTCTCACTCGTTGAATAAAAGGCCAGTGTTTCCCCCACTTGTTCACTTGAGCATTCATATTCCTAGTCGGTATAATGTAAATATGATACTGCTAGTCGCAATACTTGAGTAATTGTCATGTGCTCATTCATACTTGAAGGAAGCTGAGAGCTATCTATGGAAATTATGCTGATAACATTTGACTTAGTTTAAAAAAAGCCGTGAAAGAAAATGTTTATCTTGCAAATGTTATGGGATTATCAAAATTCATGTCACCCCATATCGCTAATATTTTTATTCAAGAATTGGTAAAATATATTATGAAGAAAAATCCGGCCTGGCGTGTGAAGGACAAATTTACTTTTATTGGAGGGACTTAAACCGTGGAATTTCACGGGCAATTTCTAGTAAATAGTGACTTGATGAGCTGTTCACAATCGCAGAGGTGTGGTTTGGAACCAAAGCCGTTTCATTCACTCAGACCAGCACGGAGCAACCGGATTTTGTGAAGTCACAAGTTAATAAATGTGACACCATCACCACCTCCACCACCCACCCCCACTCGCCACACGAACCAGCAGCCTTAATGGTCCTTCTTACAAACCGAACGTCAACAGAGTAAGAGGACTCCACGAGCCACTTGCAGTCATGAAGGCCAACGGCGATGGTCAGGTTGTTTACTGACCGTGCAGATAAGATGCCCTCTGTTCCGGCCGTGTCATCATTATCCCACGGAGTGTGCACACACCCAGCCCATCACAAACACACAGGCAGGCGCGCAACCCTAGCAGTGACCCCAACATCATGAGCACTGGGTTCTCTATCAAGGTCGAGGGGCCTTTGTGTTTTTTTTCTTTGTGCAGGGCGCTTTGGATGGCCGGCATTGCAGGTCGCCTCCTTTGTTTGCCTGACCGCCCGGCGCCCCCTCGGTTAATGACCAGATGGACGGGTCGGTTAATTCAGCTCGACACCCTCACAGCGACCAACCGAGGAAGCGGACCTTTCGGCAATTTATGACGTGGATGTTTGCTGGTGATAAAACAACAATAACAAGAGGAGCAGGGAAGCGCTAAGTGAGGAGAAGGTGGTGGGGGGGGATACGCAAACACACACGTACTCGTGAGCAGGTATTTAAAATGCTCAGTGCGACTGTCAGAGAGAAGAGAGTATCAGTCGTCTCACGAACAGGTATGTCCTTGGCTACACTTGCTCACGTCGGTAAACACTATGCAGGATGCACCCAAAGGTTTTTTTACACATATTTGTTTCTCCAAATGTTATCTTGCTTGTGCTTTACCGGCGTCATGTAAATTGGACTTAGCAGTCATTCGTATCTCGCAGAGCAGTACAATACCTGGTCTTAGACAACGGCCCGCATAAGCGGATTTAACAGAACTACATCTGACAACCCTTAAAGAGACCGATGGTCAACACAGTAGCGGGCAGCACGTTCCCATCCACTTTACTGCCAGTCGTCAGATTTTTTTATTTCACAGAACTGCAATTTAGCCAAATTAGGTGCAGAACCAACACTAAAATATGACGGGGTTTTTTGTTGTTGTTGTGCAGTCATTGCTGACCAGGCTGAGACCATCAACTCACTACGTGTTAGATGCCAGTTTAATCGCAGGTGGCTGCCTGGATTCGAATCCAGGATTTTCAGTGGTACCAGCTCAGCACTCTGACCTAATTAGCCACTGGCCACCTCGCCTATTCTCAGCGTTGTTTTATGCCCAGGCCGGGTGTTTCGGCTGTGTAATTGGCGCCTGCAAGGTTGGCGACTTGGAGAGAGGGTCGGTGGATCACGCATGGATGGGAGTCACGCGAGACACCCGCCTTGCAGGCCAACGAAGCGTTGCCTGAAGATGTTGTAGCAAGTAGATTGCTGACCTGTCTGTGCAGAGCTCTGAATGATAAATGCCCACATAATTGGAGTTTCTCTGGATACTCACGCACATTGGTGTAGTTACACACGAAACATTCTCAAAAGTATATGACGCTGGTGGTGCTGCTGATGATCTTGGTGGTGATGATGATGATGACACTGATGATGATAATTCTGCAGGTTCTGCGTGGTGCACCATGCACTCTTTGCTGGCGCTGGATCTGCTGCCGATGCCAGTCTTCCAATCGGCCTTCACGCACGGTGCGTACACATGCTGTTTGTTGTACCATTGCAGGCTCCAGGTGTGACCAGACAGACACACACACATACTTATTCTTGGTTCTTTCGATAAAGTCTCGTTGAAGGGAAACAATAAAATAATAAAATATATATAACAATACAATTCTCACGACGTTTCGACTGCAACACAATCAGTCATCATCAGGTGTGAAAACCAACGGCAAGAACATTTGAAAGAAGTGGCGGTTTTTATTTATTTATTTTTTAATGTTAGCTCCACGGATAGCGATTTGACAGTTTGTTTAGATGGACGAGTCCATCTATGTTTGGAAAAGAGGAAGGGGGAGACGAAAAATTAATGTATGCTCTCTGAAAGCCACCGTAAGCGTGAACAATCAATTAAGACCCGAAATGGTTTATCAAATCCTTCCAATGATTGCTAAGCCAGAATCCATCTTCTCGGTTGAAATTGTCTCTGTGTTTGCATATGTGGATATCCTCATGAACGAATCTCTCATGGTAGCCAGATGGCTTGTAAAGAACCTGTCTTGGAGAAGTCAATGTCATGTGAGCCTACCGAATTATAACAGTGATCTTCCACGGCCGAGGTGTTGGTCCTACCGTGTTTTAGGTCTGCTTTGTGTTCACGAATGCGGTCCGCGACATGTCGTTTGGTTTCTCCAATGTAGCTACTACCACAGAGGCAACTTAGTTTGTAGACGCCAGGGTACTGTATATCCGGAATCACATCTTTTACAGACGGAACCAGATCACGGATTTTATGTAATGTTTTAAATATATTTTTTATTATTTTATTGTTTCCCTTCAACGTGACTTTACCGAAAGAACCAAGAATATGAATCACTGCAGTCACGAAAGCTTTAAATCAAAATTTACACACATACTTGTAAACGCTCACTAATGTATAGACGATAGCAGAGCTTAAAGTCTCCAGTGCCCAAGCAGACCCACTTCGACATTTGCATTTAGCTCTTGAACAAATTACCGTACACAATAACGGAACAGGATCTCTCTTCGAGATCGAGTGACTACCCTGCGGCAGCGAGTTATAAGTTTAAATTCTATTCTCAACCAGGCAAACTCGCCAGAGGCAACGATACATAGTTTACATATGCAACATGACTGTACCGTGTATAGTAATGCAGTGGCCTATAGGGACATGTCCCAGTACGTACAGTATATGTATTCCTACTGTATTGACATGTGCAGTGCTTGGTCCATCAACTGCTGGATGAGGGCCTCACCATACTATAGGAGTTATATGACCTAAGTTCATCACGCTAGTTGCTGCGGGTTGGTGATGACAAGGAGCATTGATGACTCAACACTGGCCATAGATTTAAAGATTTCTTTCTGCTGCCCACCACGTTGCCACGCAGCAGCCGATAACATGTCATCCACTGTGGCTGCCCATCCAACCACTACCCCGGCTCAAAATCCTGCTCAGCTTCCGAGATCTCCAATGACATCAGGCGCAATTCTGGGCGGTTTGGTATTTGGAGCGTTCATCATCAGCAGCCATGATCAGTCCACTGCAGGATGAATGCCTCCCCCACACCGAGCACACTTCTCCACGCTAGTCAGAGCGGGTTGGTTAACGGGAAAGGATCCCCTGGATCCGTCGGTTCAGATCCAACACGCCATTGATGTTAGCCATGCCGTGTTCATGACTTAGGGGCCGTCCATAAATGGCGTCACGCGATTTAGGACGATTTTTTTACCCCTGCCCCCTCGTCACACAGCGTCACAAAAAGTCAGACCTCCCCCTCAAATATGACGTCACAAAGCTCTGCCCCTCCCCAAACCATATTTCCATTTTGAAAATAAAACATGCTTCACATCGCTTTAAACTATTGTCATTGTAGTGCGTATTTAATGTGGCGCTGCACTCTGATGTTGTAGGAGTGTTGTTATAACAATTCTATATTTATTTAAAGTTGCGCATTTTGATGTGACGTCACATTTCTCAACCCCCCCCCCCCCCTCGTCACACATCGTCACAAACATCTGACCCCCCCCCTAGGTGCGTGACGTCATTTATGGACGGCTCCTTAGTGCAGTAGTTCTTAACCTGGGGTGCATGCACCCGCTGGGGGTGCGAGATGCCCTTCCTGAGAACCAAAGGGGTGTCGGGTACAGTCAAGGTTAAGAACCACTGGCTTCGTGTGTTAACCGCAGTACCACTGCTCCTCCACTTAAGACTCACCGCTGACCGTATCATCCCATTTTCACGTCGTTGAGCAAATGCTATGCCTTGCCCACGCACGCGCAGCTGCCACCGCGGGACGAGGAGAGGCTACGCATTTCTTCCGCGGAGCACCGTGCAGGGCGTTGTGGCTTCCCACCTTGCCGTTCCCGCATGGCGCGGGCAGCGTGCCGTGGCGAGCGTGGTCAAGTATCCCAGCACACGGCCAGGGACTCCCAGAGCTCCGTCCCTCTTCTCCTCCCGGGCCCTGCGCGCATTGGTACCCCCTCGCCATCCACACCGCCGATGCCAGCCTTGGAGCCACGTGCGTGCCCTCGGCAGTTCCTAACTCGGCGGCATGGACGTGGGTCCCACCGCGTCTTCTCAACCCACCACACCTCTGCGATGCCAACGTGACGCCCGCGTCGTGGTTGGGTTCAGCAACTTATCCATACAATCATCACGGTCATCACGGTCACCTCCATCACCACGCGGTCTCATCCGAGTGGCAGCGAGCGCACGGCGCGCATCTCACTCCGCCTCCACCGGGAGTGGCCAATGACATAAATACCCCAGCCGCCGCATGCAAGGACATCATCGACAGCAACATTCACAAAACCATCAATATTAACACCACCACCACAACCACCAAACCCGGGACCGTCACCGCGGCTGGCGTTCAGAGACGAGCCGGGCACCCGTGTCCCATCTGTGGGAAGCTGTACACGCGGCGCTACGGGTTGCGCATCCACGTGCGCACGCACACCGGGCACAAGCCGCTGCGCTGCGCCGTGTGCCAGAGGAGGTTCGGGGACCCTAGCAACCTGAACAAGCACGTGCGTCTGCACGGCGGCCTCGGCCACGTGGCGCTGTCGCGGCCGCGGCCTCCTCCTTCCCCTCGGCCACGTGGCGCCGCTGACCCGTCGCACCGCTGCCACGTGTGCGGAGTGACGACGAAGCGACGCAGAGACCTGGCGCGACACGTGCGTGCGCGCCACGCTCCGGGCGTAACCCGATGATGAGCACGCTTCGTGGTGCCGTTGGGGCAGCAGATAAGAGGCAGAGATTGACTGACATTTTTAAATAACGCTTTGCGGGACTAGGTGGTGAGCAGCAGATGTCAATGCAATAAAATACACTGTGATACTGTACTGCTATGCTCCCACGTTTATGCTCCCCCCACCTTCAACAACCTGCACAACTGCTCCGCCTACACCACCAACCCGCGTTCATCCAGCCGCCGATTAACCAAGGGCTGCACGTGTGCATGCATATTTTCTCAAGTCGCGACGCAATAACACGTTTGCATCATCGTCATCAGCAGCAGCAGCAGTAGCTGCTGTAGGAGTATCATCTTCATCATTATCAATTAATGGCCCCATTATTTGACAGATGATGTTGGCCACCCGGGAGATGGCCACGTAGTCCATCACCCTTGCCACTGAACTATTCTGCACTTAGTACAAGGTTTAGTAATTGCCTCCGCCGCTTTGCAATTTCTGTTCGAGGTTATTTCTCGTTGCAAATTGCAGGGTCGAAAAACCCACCAAGTACTGCTGGGACAGGCACGTGCGATCCGAGTCACTGTGCTCTAAATCCAAAAATAACCGACGATTATCCACAATTAAATTGTTCGGGAAAATAACAACAGTAATTATAATAGCTCCCTACCTAACACAACATTGTTCAAGCAGACGTATCTCTTTTTGTTCATTAGAAAAAATATTATTTGTGTTATTTTATTTTATCAATTTATTATTTTATTCTCATTCTACGTGACTTTACCGAAAGAACCAAAGAAAATTAATATCTATTATGCTTATGAAAACAAATGTGGGCTTTAAGGTTTGACTCGAACAAGAGCAGCATATAAAGTTGAAAAGAAAAGAGAATTCCAGACAGCGGGAGCAGACGCCGAGAAGGAGCGACCTCCTCGCGTGGAACGAACGTTTGACGACTGTGGGCGACTTTGTAAAGAAGGAAGAGGCCTTCATCGCTGGGGAAGAAAATCAACGCGCCGAAAAGTAGGGTGAGATGAGAGTGGAGAGATAGAGACAAGACTGTGAAGAATGGAATGCTTTGTAACATACGGCGCAACAACGGTGGTGGTCGTGGGTCAGACGAGTCTGCGGTGATGTAAACACCGCGCGGTAACTGCGAATTCGTCTTAGTTTGTTTCTGGATACATATCATCACCATCATCTGATGTTAAAATGAACATGTTCATGTTTACATGAAAGCGGTTGGGAAGATTTTTCATGCAGAACCAAACACTCGTAATCAAGTGTGTCAGCATACATGACAACACTTGGCTGATGATGATAATTATGATGATGGTAATTATGATGATGATTATATGATCATGTGGATGGGGATAATGATGACGACGATATTTGATGATTAATATCATGGATTTGATGATGATGACACGCACAACTATCATGGTGAAGCCAATCACGATGATAAATAAATGATGACGGCGATGGATTGGTGATGATGATGACAATCATGATGGTGAGAATGATGCTGATAATGATGACGACACGCATGATGGTGATGATAAAATATACACAGATGATGATGACTTGATAATAATGATTAACGCAATGAAGATAATGATGATGATGACAATACACCATTACGATTATGCAGAACATGACATGGATAACAATGGTTTTTTAAAGTTATGTGACGCACGTAATATTGTGTAGCCTCGTGGTGTCCAGAGCCACAAAGACAAATATCCCCCTTATAGCCTTAACAGCCTTATGTTAGCGAGCTCCTATGAAGGCCGGAACGCCACACGAGGGGGTGGGTGGCCAGCACCACGCCCGGCCACCTTTCTCTCCCTCGTGGCGATGTTTACGCCACGAGGGACCTACGGGAGGCCCAGGACCGGTTCACATAATCGTCACTGGTGTTGGTGACCATGAGCAGGAGTCGAACTCGGGACGCCGTAGCGCACGAGCACACACACGCACACACCTCCGCAACTCCGACCCACACATACACCCCACAACATTGCATGGCTCAAGATATAAATCACCACGATCCAGGCGAGAGGGAGAGAGACCGGCGTGGAACTGCGTGAGCAGAGGCAGACTCACTCCAAAAATACCTCTGTACACCGTGACCATATACAGCCTGACCGTCGTGCAGCCAACGTGCTGTGTGGCGGGGGCAGCTGTTTAGCCAAAGCCTTTTTTTGTTAATCGTTAGAAGAGGAAGAAAAACACTCCCAATGCACCAATACACTGAAGCACTGGAGCTGCATTCAAGGGTCCGGACCGGAGGTAATGTCTGCTGTAATATTCGCGAAGTTCAATACAGACAACTCGACACACGCATACGTCAGTAACACTGTCTTAAAAGCAAAAAAGAACCCCATATATAGAGGAGGCGACGTTTCGGGCAATGGCCCTTCCTCATATGAATAGAGCCCGATTCGTGGGCTATATAATTGTTAACTATATACAGTATTTGTTTTCTATTAGGGCAGTGTTGTTGATGAATGTGTTGAGTTTGTTTGTTGTTTGCGCTAGTGCACCACTCACTCTCAGCACATCATCACGCAATTTGTTTGTGTGTGTGTGGTACATGCAGTAAACATCGACCACTAGGGAGACAAAGGCGGCCGGGCGTGGTGCTGGCCACCCCCCCCCCCCCCCCCGTGTGCCGTTCCGGCCTTCATAGGTGCTTCTCGCTAACATCACTTGCACCCACAGTCTATTAAGGCTATCCGGGGGATCTTTTGTCTCTGTATGCATACGTGCTTTATAAAAGTGTCTCTTCCATTCTGTTCTTGCGTATGGCAATACGTCGAGGGGCTAGATGGCAATGTTGAGGCATAATAGCCGCGACGAGAGGGCTTCAGGAGAGAGTTGGTGGAGTTTTTGTTCCATTCTTCTGTTTAAAGAACGCGGACTGCAGTGGTTTTACCATGATGGTCCACAGATTGGGTTGCAGGGCCACAATTGCGCTACTGTGGCTTGTCTTTTCATTTTCCCGTCAGTGTCCATGTGGCACGCACTCTGGTTAAGGAGTGGAGCAGTAGAGTGTACATGCGAGTGTGTTGTTACGTTTATACGCAATAAACGAGAGCTGTTAGATAAGCTAATATAGCTACATAAATACGATAATTGAACCAATTAGGGTTTGGTCATCGTGACTTAACAAGAGTGGCGGTGGCTACAGGTCACGCCTATAATCCGGAGCTTTGGAGGCGATGATTGGTTTAATCATATTCTTGGTTCTTTCGGTAAAGTCACGTAGAAGGGAAACAATAAAAGAATAAAAATATAAAACAATACAATTCTCACGACGTTTCGACTGCAACACAAGCAATCATCATCAGGTGTGAAAACAACAGCAAGAAATTTTGAAAAAAGTGGCGGTTATTTTTTTACGTTAGCACCACGGAGAGCATTTGACAGTTTGTTCAGATGGACGAGTCTATCTATGTTCGGAAAAGAGGAGGGGGGAGACGAAAAATGATGGATGCGGTCTGAAAGCCACCGTAAGCGTGAACAATCAATTAAGACCCGAAATGGTTTATCAAATCCTTCCAATGATTGCTAAGCCAGAATCCATCTTCTCGGTTAAAATTGTCTCTGTGTTTGTATATGTAGATAGCCTCATGAACGAGTCTCTCATGGTAGCCAGATGGCTTGCAAAGCACCTCTGTCTAAACATGTTCACCACAAGTACTTACGGTTAATGCGAACTTGATTCCTTGCAAAATCTTTGTAATTTTTGGTGTTTGAACATCTTAACACCTCCTGTTTTATTGCCAGAAAGGGTAAAACTCTTTTCTTATTGTTTCACATTTGTGAAACTCCAAACCTGCTGCTTGGCTGCGGGGTGGTCAGAGGGTGGCAGTACAGCAAATCGGTTGTGCACGCATTTTTTTCGTGTTATCTCCCTCTAATGAGCGGGTCTTTCTCCACGTACTCTGATTTACCTCTCCCACACAGAATACTGTGAAAGTAAAAAGGGTCAAACATCCCCATGCAGTACCCTCCTCAAAATGTATCTGTATTGAACGACTGCGTTATGACAAAATGTAATCTTCACCATCAAACATCGTTATTATATTATTATATTATGATTATTCACGATAATCCTTTGGGGAGATGGAACCAAAAACACAGTACAAAGATAGAATCTTATTATTAGTGGAGGAAAGTTATGGAGACCTCTTATAGCAACGAGAAAAAAAAAACATATCTCAGGAATCAAATATAAAAAAAACAATTACTATTCTTGCTTTAAATGTACAGTCCTCTTTGTCAATCCACTGCTGGATGAAGTCCCTCCCCACACCGCGTGGCTCGTGGGGGTTGTAGGACCATAATCCATCACGTTGGCCAGTGCGGGTTAGCGAAGGTGGGGAGCATTGATAGGGGAACATAGTAGAACAGTATAACAAAATAACTGGCTGCACTACCAACTCCTGTCCACAAAGCAGCCCCGCAGCCGAGAATACCTGTGATGCTTGGTGGCAACTCCACAGGCTCAACGCTGCTTATCTTCTGAGATCAGCCTAGATCGGGCATTGTGGGTGAGTTGGTCATAGGTAAACCAAAGTCAACATATTACACGGATGTTAAGTAATTTAATACCACAAACATTCGTGAGTACATCACACTTAAAATAATGATATGATGCTTCTCCGACTGCAAATATAGAAAGGGTAAAACCTATTCTTATATTTTGATACTGGCAAGGGAGCGCCCATGATATTTAAATTCTTCATTTGCATTTTATATAACTAGTACTGATTAATGTCTCTAAACGTGGCTATCTCGGTGTCCCCTAGGCCAACCACAAGAAGTCACGGAACATGCCCTGCGAGAGGAAATGATGTGGGAGGGCCGAGGCATTTTAGCGAACAGCCCGAGTTCGCTGAATCAAAGCGGGCAGGGTCACGGAGAGGACGACTCCATCTATAGGGCCAACGAACGATGTTTATGCAGCGTCGGTAAATGTTGGGATTTTGGGGGTTTGTCGGAGCGACGATGGCTCCTGGTTTTTTTTTCCCCGAGACGTTGCTCCAAGCCCTCCTCCAACGTCTCTCGCTTAAACAAGGGGAGGGGGGGGGGACGTCAGTGTTTTTTCTTAACGAAAAAAATACGGAAAATGCCGCCAAACTGAAATTGAACATGGACAGCGACCGAGTCGCCTTGTTGATACAACAACTGGGCATGGAACCACGCTTGCCTAGCCCCTTGTAATTCCAACGGCTAGCTGTAATATAAACATTTTCACGGGCAAAGCTATTGTAAACCAATGCAAAGGCCCCGGAATTTTCAGTCCATTGCAACAAGCAAGGGCGGGCGATCATCATCACACCGTGAAACAAACACATTTACGCATTATATTCTTATAGCTAACAGTGCACCATCCTGTGAGAATGAACCTGGAAAATAAACTTCTTTTTATTTGCCTAAATAGGCTATGTACGGTGCGAAATAAGTTCAACACACACACATAAATCTATACTCAACAAACACTTTTCAAAATGTTTCTGCATCCTACAAAGAGTGTTTGTCAGATGTAAATCATAACATTTTAATTAATCACAGTTGCCATAACTTATCATCAGTGCAATGTCAAGTCCCTTGTAAATCCACTGTTGGATGAAGGCCCTGTTGGTAATTGGGGTTGTTTAACTATACTGCACTTCACCAAGCTAGTAAATGCAAAGATTCATGAATGGAGGCTCCAAGACTGGTCCAGATATTATTTGACACCCCTGTTAGCTGTGGCTAGGAATTAAAGTCAGATCACCGGGCGTACAGCAGAGTGCGTGTGTAGTGTCAACGATTCAGAGACAGAGTTTCTAGGAGGCACTTTATTAACAACTTTCACGGTCTCGTCCGCACACTCTCCACAGTAGCTCAGCCCAGCCTATACACAACACGAGCCATCTAACACTGACGGCGCTGACTGAGATAGCCAACTACTCTCCTTTGTAGCGCAATATCTAGCGGAGACGTTTAGCTACGACGGCGACGAGACGACAGTGACGACGAGACGAGTCCACTCCCAGAACCGGCAGCCTCGAGCCCCCGCTCTCGGCTCCTTTTATGCTCCCAGCGCAACCCTGGCTCCGCCCTGACCGCGCCTCCCTTCTGGAACCCGCTAGCAGGTTCCAGGGGCCTCCAGACGGGTCCTCCGTGACCCGTACCCTAGTTCCTCCCTCTGCCCATACACTGTGCACGCCCTCACCGGCATGTGAGCTGTGTCTGTCCTCCACAGTTGCCGCTGCTGTCCACCAGCCGGCGCTATTACACTACACGTGTACTAGGGAATGTCACAGGGTGGTGGCATGGCTTGGCGCAGTGCTTCTCGACCTCTGTCATTCCATGACACTCACACTGTCGAGCGTGCTCGATCTTTGCGACATACCGAATCAAAATCACTCTGGATCATAGCTGATGATAATAATAATATGTCTGAGACCCAACTTGTACACTATGGGCACCAGCTTGCCTCATGCAACAATAATTCAAAATCTGTAATTTACAATGTTTGTGTTGCGATGAGCTTTCTCACAATTTACAGATTAAAGTTATGTATAATGCACTTCAGTGAATACAACGTTAATAATGTTATTGTCTTGGAAACAGTTTTTGTGATTCTAACTTCACGTGTGTTACCTATGTGCGAGTGCTCTGTTTAATTGTGCTTATTAATTCTGTCAGTGCTTCTGTTCTCATTTTGCACATGTGTAAGGCGCGCTATCAAGTAATACATCATGAAGTGCATGCATGTTGAACTTCTTTTGCACCGTACGTAGCCAACTGCGCTAATCGGAGGTGCGGGGGAAGGACAATAAAAAAAACAGTTCTTAAGAAATGAGTTTTCAATCTCGATGACTTAAAAGTGCATAGCTCCAGTGACTTCCCAATAGAGCATTCCAGACGGCCGCAGAAGCGAATTTGAAAGCACGCGATGCGGTGACCATCTTTGTTCGATTAGCCCCCTGAACCACCGAGCTTCCACCCACACTGGCTATCTTCATGTTTATCTCATTGGCCCACCTATGCTGGCTTCACTATAGGCACGCGACATGGAGCAGCTCCCAACCCTGTTGCACCTGAACCAGGAGTGCCTGCTGCACCTCTTCTCGTTCCTGGGCCGGGCGGACCGCGCCAGCCTGTCCCGCGCGTGCACGCGCCTGCGCTCCGTGTACGAGGACCCCGCCCTGTGGACCGACCTGCGCTTTGGCTCCCTGGTGGAGCTCAACCGTGGGGACTACCGGCTGGGGGCTGCACTTCGCCGGCTGGACGTGTGCTGGTACGTTACTGAGGCTGAACGTGTGCTGGTACTGTACGTTACTGAGGGTGGACGTGTGCTGGTACGTCACTGAGACTGGACGTGTAGTGGCGTAGCTGCCGAGTGTGCAGGTGGTGCAACTGTATTGGGACCTATGGGCCACGGGGCGCTGTGGGTGTCCGGACTTGCCATTATTTTTAAGAGACACACCTGGACGACTTGGACACCACAGGCCAAAACTGCAGTTCTCTAGTTGGCTATGTGTGAGTGTGGTCGACCTACACTGTTCGATGCTCCCACTATGTGCCCTGCTTCTGGGCAGGCCGACACACATGAACAGGTGTAGGGGACGGCTGCTGTGCTGATGGTGGCCACTTTCCCGCAGGTATTCGAGCCGCGTAAAGGTGTGCAACGTTGAGCCGTGGAGACAGACGGAGCTGCAGAGAGCCATGTGCTGGCAGCATGAGAGCGTGGTGGGAGACTTCTTGCTGCAAGTCAGCCTGAGGCAAGCACACCCGCGCACATCGCCACATCGTAACATGTGGTAATGCAGTCAGGCAATTTATTGACCCCCCAGCATTAGTTCTGCAAATTAATCTTCTAGAGGTTGGTTTCTACCACTGCTCGTTGGGAGAGTTCCCAGTAGAATATAATTATAATGCCACGAGCACAAGTGTAATGTTGGCATTCTGACCGCAAGCAAGCAGTGGTTAATGCAGACATGATTCTTTGTAAAAAGTTTCAGTTTGGTGTTTTAACATCTTAACACCTGTTTTGTTACCAGAAAAAAGGGTAAAAACACTATTATCATGTAATATAATTGCGTAGAGAAAAATAGGGATTAAATCTATCAATCAAAATTGAGACTTTACCGAAAAGCCAAACTGCCATTGCCACTAATCCGTATGCTATTTCCCCACGGAGGTGAACCATTTCCTAACATAAAGGTTTCCACTTCTCTGGGAGAGATGCAAATGGATACTCCAATTCACAACATGACTCTAACAGCACAATTGGGATACATTTGGGGGAAAATATATCAACATATTTCAAAAAAGAATATAAGAGCTAGAGTAATTATTTTATTGGGTTGCATCTTCCTTAAAGGGTTCAGCCAATGGATCTGATCCTTGGTATTGTGGGGCATGCGTCCATCAGGTGCCCAAACCTGGAGCGGCTGTCCCTGGCGGGGTGCGCCCACGTGACGGACGAGCAGCTCTGCTCACTGCTGCGCCGCTGCCCCCGCCTGCGCTCGCTGTTGCTGCACAACTGCCGCTCGCTCACGGACGCCGCTCTCGAGGAGGCCGGGCGGCTCGCCCCGGGGCTGACCCACGTGCGCGCCGACTGGTGCCGCAACGTCACCCCGGCAGGCCTGGCGCACATCCGTGCCGCCTGCCCGGCCCTGCAGGTGCTGAGCGGCGACCGCGTGGGAGCACTCGTGCCCGACGAACCTCCTCCTCGGCCACCGTCACCCGGCAGACCCAAGGCTCGGTGCTCCCAATGGGGATACGGAGGCCACCTGGGACACCGTCTCACGGAGCACAACGCCCCGCTCGGCGGAGAGGGCTTCAGATAACGAGACGATGCTTGGGTGGCAGGCAGATCCTCCACGTGGGCGGCGGACCAACGGCCAGAAGGCGCATGGTGTCAGGGGATCTGTTGGCCAATTGACCGGGATTAAAACAGAGCTCCGAAATCAGTTACGCTGGTTTGATCATCCACTGCCCTGAGCAGAGCCGAAGCTCCGCTTGGATACTCATCATCAGCATTCATTACTATTATTTATCCCGCGCCTCCCATGCAACATGTCTCGAGGTAGTCACAGGAGACGTGATGTGAAGGTCGATCCACTGTCCCGCAGGTGAAAGGGGACGTGTCTGTGCCCTTCTGCTCAGTGGGACTTGTTGAAGCAGGGCTGATTATGAAGTACGCAGTCTGCGACTATAAATAACTCTCAAGGTTGTACTTAAGAGTTGGCAATTGGACAGAAGGGGGTGGGCCCCACTCCTTTAAAGGCCTCCATTGCTGTGCCTATCTTGCTCCATATCTCTTGGCGTCTGTTTCTCCGTGCCCGTCACTGTCTCTTTCCAAGTGTCTCGCTCAATGTCTGTCTTCATGACACTGTCGCTGGGACCTTTCTTCTCTGAACCTTGCAGAGTTTGCTCAAGGATGCAATTGCATTGCCCTGCCAGGTGACACTATCAAACGTGTGTGATCTTCCAGAAGCAATCCCTGACATGGTGTGCGATGGTGTGCGAGATTTTAAGAGATCAGTGAGGATATTTGAACTTATGCTGACTTCTATAACAGAACTGGGATATAATCGGTAAAAAAAAACTGATTATACAGATTGCAACAGTTGCGGTATACAAGCACAGATAAAATAAAAATAACCAAACTACTGTCATATATTACTGCCTGTAACAGAACACCACCTAAGACCATAAACATTCAGTAGTTGGCTGTTTCTGTGTGCTCTGAAAGAGGGCTTTTACCAAACATGTTACCCCACACATTAAATTAGCATGGTTGGCTATGTACGATGCGAAAGAAGTCCAACATACATACTCCATATTTTTCTGTTTATAAGGCAGACTTAATGACAGTAGCGATGTTAAGTTATGACGTGGAAGTTGGAAATATGTCCATATTGAGAACTACATTTCATTATTTTTTTATTATAAACATACAAATTAAGTAAATTTATTAACAACTAAAATTGGAACATGTGTAATTAATCTAAGAAGGTAAAAACCGCGTTGTTTTTTTGCACTACACTTTACACCTACACATAGAGCACACCCACACACGATCCATACCTGTGCATGCAATTTTCTAGCCTTGCTCTGTAAACAATAGCGTGCACATATTTTTATGAATTCCCTAAGTAGTAATCTCGCGGGCACATCCAGTTAGAAATTAACATCGTGTTTTTTTTTAATTACACATCCAAAATTGGTATTTAAAAAAATAATTCACTGCCCCTATATTTGTTTTTACAACACCCACCGACAAACACGCTTCCATAAAGCGTGAAATACAACACGTACCAAAAAACCATTCTTCACTTCAAAAAATATTTTTTATTAAAAAATTAAATATAGCAATACAAAGTCTAGATTACAGAGGTAAAATAATTACTGTAAACCACTTTATAAAAACAACCATTGCGAAGCCTTGTTAGCGCACCCTGAATAGACGGTGTAATGTACAGGACATGAAGTGAGAAATGCATCATTATTCACATTGTGGCTAACATAACTTCAATTACACACCACCTACTTGCCTTGGTATGGACATTAAAAATTAACACACAATGCAAAACAAACAACTTTATAGATGCACAGACTGTGGTGCCCTGGTCTGTAAAACATTAATTAAAAGTTTCATGAATGAGAAAAGAACATTTGAAAATTACGTTCAAATGCACGCACAGCCATCAGTAGTCACCCCCACTAGATCATGCAACAGTGCGTCACTGGAGGGCGTCTGACAAGTGATTTTAAAGTAGCAGTGGGTCACAATAACTCTTGCGAAGATGATCTCATATAAACAACATTTCAGTTTAAAGCTGTGCAGCTACAAGTAACATCCCCCGCAGAAAATGTGGCTTCGTACATATTTACAACATAAGAGCTGTTTCTTTTGTGTTCCATATTCCTTGAAAACAATTCAAATGCGTTGCTTACGAGCCACAGCACCTAGTTACATTAGTCCCACGGCGGGCGCGATGACAACCGCCGGAGTTGATAAGACAGTGGCGGCACCTCCTCCACTCAAGTGGTGGGGGCTGGTGAGTGAGCTGGCGGAGATGCGGGAAAATGGGTTGTGCGACGATAATACAGGTGGGGGATAATTTCTGCATAAATCCAAGTATGGAAAAAAACGGTGTCACTTGGTGAGGAGATGCTTCAGCCAAAGGGCTAAGACACTGGGAAGGCATGACGGAATGGGGTTCAATTGGTCAGCTCGGGTTACAATATTTTTTTTAGGTTTGCAACAATTTTTTATTTGGACTATATATTAAGGTGCAATGAGTCATTATATAAAAAACGACATTGTTACCCTATTGATGGACTGAACCCGGATCCTTTGTGTATAAATGGAGGCCCACCATTCTGACTACAGCATCTCTCAATCCACTCATTTACCACTTGTTCTTACAGTATAAATTATTATAACGTTAAAAATGAAGATAACTGGCTCCTCATCTCCATGTCCACCAACTCCATCAGGGCACACGTGGATACTTAGCGCGGGGTGGGATACGATCTAACAGATGGAGGGTGACACAGGTGTGTGCAACAGTGATCCCTGTCCCCTTATTGTGGCGCTGCCTTTGTGAAGATTTGGGAGTCAGGTGGCACCCGTGCGCGCTGCGCCCATGGCCGGGATGACAACCCCCTGCCTCTGCAGCTCCCGCAGCACCTCCAGGATGGAGTCCAGCTCCGAGCGGAAGCGCTCCAGCTCCGCGTTCTTGTGAAGCACCTGGCGCCGCCACTCGACCGCCTCCCGGCTGCGCTCCTGCTCGCCGCTCTGTCGCGTGCGCTGCACCAGCTGGTTAGGGGGGATGGGCCCATTTGCAGGGTAAGCGGAGAGGTGTTGGTGGCCGGGTGGCTAAGAGGTAAAGATAGGTGAGCTGGCACTGCTCAGATCCTGGGTTCGAATCCACCTGCGATTAAATTGTATGTTGAATTTCTCTCGCACCGTATGTAGCCAACCGTGCTAATTGGAGGTGCGGGGGAAGGACAACAAACTAAACACAAAAAGCAGTTCTAAAGAGACGAGTTTTCAAATCTAGATTTAAAAGGACGTAGCTCAAGTGGATTCCTAATATCGGAAAAGCATTCCAGACGGCCGCAGAAGTGCATCTGAAAGGTCGCAATGCAGTGACCGTCTTTATTCGATGGCGAGCCAAAAGCCGCTGCTGCGAGGATGACCGAAGGTCGCGTGATAGTTTATGTTCCTTCAAATCAGCATAGTTTTGAGGTTCATTTGTGTCAAGCACTTTGTGTGTAATGAATCGGACCTTAGTCCGGTCACCAACCAAAGGACAAAAAACACCATCATATTGAATTTGGTTATGAACTTAATTTGTCTAACTTCCAGCTCTGGCAATTTAAATATTCGTTTTACTTTGTGATAAACATTACTCTCGCATGGCAGAGCGGGTAGGATAGTGCTGCCCTCTACCTTGTGGACCAAGTTACTTGACGTGATCTAGTTCTGGGATATCTGCTTTCTCTAACACTAACACGTAACACACATGGTAATGGTTATAACAACGTACACACAGCACATACCCATACATTCTGTACATGAACTCCAATTATGTAGTTATTATTCTTTCATGTTTATTTGTGCGTGTGGATTGTAACATATATATGGCTCACAGCTTTAACATTTCAGTGATGGCCAATGTTGCCATGTTATGACTGCAGTTTGGAAAATGCCCAAGATTGCAGGCCACAACATTTGTCAGTGAGGCCCTACCAGTGACGTATAAATCAAGTGTGCAGGCAGTGCAACTGCACAGGCACCTACAAGCAGGAGGGGCGCAGGCACTGGACCATGAATAGGGATGAAAGGGCCACGTCCAGCAGCTGACTGTAGTTTCCGCATCGCCGATAAGCACGGTTGGCTACGCTGTCTTTCCGACAGCTCCGTTTCTTCACCTGAGGACGGCTGCTTGCGTTGTGAGAATTTTATTTTATGTTTTATTTTTATTATTTTATTATTTCCCTTCTACGTGACTTTACCGAAAGAACCAATAATATGAATTCCTGCAGTCATGAAAGCTTTAAATCGAAATGTGCGAAAGAAGTTGAACATATGGACGTATTGGTCGGTGTTGCCCTTGAGTGAGCTGCAGACCATCCATCAGAAGTTGCCTTAGATTCAGCAGCTGCTTTCCCATTCGAACGTGTGCCATGAAGTCGTAATCTTTTGATGCCACCGTCCGCCAAGATATGATTCCGGAAATGAATCGAGGAACCGTCCGGCCAAGTCTAGGGCACGAGTCAAATCTGCCTTTGGAATAAGGAGTCAAATGTCATCAGGCTGCGTTCTATATGGCAACAGACTGTGAAGCTTCGTGTTCGTCTTTTCCGACCGCTTCGACATCACGAGAACTGATGTTGACGCACCCTGCAAGATTTTCTGAACAGGGTTGCGGAATCGCGGGAACATCAATCATTGTTGCGAAAAAATGTTTTTTTATATATATACCAACGCACCAGTGTACCGCGAATACGTTCATATGTGTAAAGTAGTTGGAGTGTGTAGCTGCTAGTCGTGAGGGGGGCAAGTAGAGTAGCCCACCTGCGTGAGCTCCTGCTCCCTGCGCAAGTGCCGCTGCTCCATCATCACCACCTTGGCCTCCAGCGCGCGGAACTGTTTCATCTCGGGTGTGTGCGTCTCCCTCGCCTCCCCCAGCTCCTGCAGCAGGCGCACGACCTGTGACCGTGCACCACATAAGGGACAGAGAACAAAGACGCCTGAAATAGCCTTAACAGACTGTTGGGGCAAGTGCTGTAAGCGGAGCACCTATGAAGGCCGGCACGGCACAGGAGGGGGTGGGTGGCCAGCACCACGCCCGGCCGCCTTTGTCTCCCTCGTGGCGATATTTACACACTGCACCATGTACTCATTTGAGGCTGAGTCGACCTAGGGGAGGTCCAGGACCATTTCAGATAATCATCACTGGCATTGGCCATGAGCGGGAAATCGAACTTGGGTAGTTGGGTTCGTAGCGCAGCGCGCTAACCGCTGCCCTGCCGCTCTCCACGAGGGACATACACACACACACGCACACACGGCACTTGCCCTGGGCATGCAGGCCTGCGTTCAAACTTCAAAACCCAAGTGCGCGGCAGACAACGTTTGCTTCTTAGCGGTGGCACAGTGGTTAGCGCACTGTGCTATGAATCCAGCAACCTGGGTTCAACTCCTGGAATGGATAATATTAGTGGAGAATGATATCTGAACTGGCTATAGCCCACCCGGCACTCCTTCAACAACCCACACTGATCAGTGCACTGAAATATTCAGTATTGCATTGACAAAGAGCTGTGAAAAAATATTCTTTCATTGCCAGATTTACTTGTGCCACTGCGCCACGACTTTCTCCACGTATTCAACTCCTGTCTTTCTTGTGAAAAGTGTACACCATGTCAAATGGGTTTTCAACTGGTTAACTGCCTAATTAAATGAAAAGTATCGACTATAAGTGGCACACATGTTTAAAATGTCTTCAGAATTTAACAGAACACTGCTCTCGGCGAGAGTACAATTTGTTAGATTGTTTATTCAATGTCAGTATTAAAGCGTAACGAAACGCACGCTGGTGTCAGGGCACACTCACCTGGTCCTGCAGCGTCTGTTCGCGGCGACGCGACAACATTAGCTCCTCGTGTTCCTCCTGCAGCTCCGATAGCTGTTGTCGAAGGTGAGCGATCATCACCTGCAAAGCATCATAGCACGGCTGGCTACATACGGTGCGAAAGAAGTTCAACGTACATACATATGTAGTGACTCAACTCGGAGACACTAAGACTTGGAGGCACTTCTTTATTTAGCAAGCACCATCGGCATAACACACACGCTACGTGAGTGCACACTATTATTATGAGCGTCTATTGTCGGCGGCACTACTTAGTTAGAACAGTTGGTAGGCTGTCTGACTAGCAGCGCCCCGGGATAGCAAACACGGAGACGGCGACGAGAAAAATGGTGACGACGATGGACATGAGCAGCACGACGCGCATCCCACTTCCAACAAGAGCCACGAGGTCCCCCACAGGGGCCCCTCTTATACTCTCAGCGTGGCCTCGCTCCATCCCGGCCACGCGCCCTTTCTGAAACCTACTAGCAGGTTCCTGAGGCTTCCCGATGGGCCCCTTTCTTTGACTTTCCCCTAGATGTCCCCCTCTTGTATATATCGTGGCCTGCTGACTTGAGTACTGCCGTACACCGCAGTTCCCCTTTTTCGCCAGCAGCCAGCGCTATGCCACTACACATACAAAGTTTGGCGGAGCACGAAACAGACCACACCTATGAACGATCACCCAGCCAGTTGGCGCTGTGGTAAACATAACCCCAGATCCCAGCACAGTCCAGTCCAGCGAAAACGCTCACCTCCTGAGCGCTGGTCTGGTTGGCGAGCTCGGCTGTGCGCGTGCTGGCATGCTGGAGTGCTTGCTGTGCCATCAAGCGCTCCAGCTCCCTCTTGTGGCCATCCCTCAGTGCTGCCATCTGTGCCGCTCCCTCCTCCCTGGACCTGCACACGTTAATTTCACACACGTACAAAACACACAAAGATCCCTCTTTATAGCGCCATAGACTGTTACGAAAAGTGCCGCTCGTGACCATCTATTCAGGCTGAAATTTAGCATGAGGTGGTGCGGCCAGCACTGTGCCCAACCGACGTTGCATTCCCACTGCTGATGTTTACACACCACACCAGGTACACATTTAAGGCCGCGTCAACCTAGGGGGTGGGGGGGCCATAACCTGTTCACATATCACTTGTTAAGCATAGCAAAGTGCACTAACCACTACACACCATTCCCCACAGCACCTGGTTAAGGCGCTATATAGATTACATTGATAAGATACGATAAGCACGCACGCGCAGACAAGGGTCTCCATACTCGTAACGAATGCCATTAAATCAGCAATTATTTAGAGACAGAAATTCCCGTGAACTTTAGCAGCGTCCTCTTCATAGTGCCCATCACCTGCAAGTCTCTGCCTCAGCCCGCGCTAGCAAGGCTTGCAGTTTCACCCGCTGGTGCTCTGCATCCAGCGCCAGTCGCTCCATCTCCGCCTTGAGCCGAGCGCTCTGCGTGGGCGACTCCGCACCCCTCTGGTGACGCTCCTCCAATTCCTCCACCTCTTCTTCCTCACCATCACCACAATCACCACCACCACCACCATTCCCACTCTTGTTATGATTGTATAGGTTCAGCGCCTGTGCATTCACGTCACCATTCGCCTCTGCGATACCCAAGCCTTTCGACCTTTCACCCTCAAACTGCACACGCTTCTTGATGTTGCCGTGTTTGCGACGGGCGCTTTTACCGCCCCGTCTGCCCAGCCGTGTTTCGCCGGCGGCCGCCCGCCCCACCGCTCCCTCCATCTCGTCATTCTTCTTCCTCATCTCGTGCACCACCGCCTCTAGGCGGCTGTGGTCCGTTGCGTCCCGAGCACCGTCTCTGAAGTGGCCCTCTGGAGCGGCGCCCCTCCCCTCCAGCTCCCGCAGCTGGCACCGCAGCTGCTCGTTCTCGGCAGCCAGGGCCTGCTCGCGAGCTTCGTAACCGGCCTTGAGCACGGACAGGTGGTCGAGCGACGAGTGCGGCGAGTAGCCGGCACCGGAGGAGGGAGGCGGCCGCTCTCTAAGAACCTCTTCCAGCCCTTTGATCCTCTGCTCGTACTGCAGCTGCAGGGCAAAGAATCGTGAAATTCAAAATCGGCACACAGCAGGATGAAAAATTTATGTTAACAATGATATTCAATAATAACATTCTTGCTTTCATCTAACGAATTCCAACTGTGCTATAGGCATCGTGTCACGAAATGTCAAAATGTCCATCCAGATCTCTCGCAGCAAGCAGTGCACTACCTCGTGTCAGAGGATGGCCCTCGAATAAGACGTTACAGAACTACTAAAGTTACTTTGATCGGCCTCTTTATCCACAATAGAAGCATACCATTAAATACCTTGGTTGCATGTCAATTAAACCAAAAGTTAATTCTCAGAGCTAGAATAAACAAACACCAAGTGAAACCAAATACTGAATATTATGGTGTTTTGTATGACCATTGGTGACGAAGAACCCAAGCATCTGAGCAGCTGCAGCTCAGTGGTCCGAGGCAGTAGCAGGTCCCCGAGTCACACGGCCACCTCACTCACCTTCATCTTGTTGTAATGCTGCTCCATGACGCGCAGACCACGCTTGGCCTCCTCGTCCTTGGCCTCCAACTCCGCCTCCAGCTTGCGTAGCCGGCGCTCCAGCAGCTCGGCCGAGCCGCCTGGTGCCGCGTCCGAACCCAGCGCACGGTCGCCCACAGACGCCGCCGCGTACATGAGCGCCGGCAGAGAGTTGGGGTGGCGTCGGCGCAAGATATCCTCCATCTCCCGCACCTGCATCGTCGTCGTCATCATCATCATCGACGCCATCATTAAAAACCCTGACCATCATTAATGCCACTATCATCTTAGTTTAATTGGCATAAGCATTACCACTACCCATGACAACCACCATTAACACTATCAATGAAGTTTGAGAACTTTTCTGAATTTAATTAAGTTCTGCTGTTTAGCACTGCAGTTTGACGACAGTGTTTTATAGCGCATGCTGCCTCACTCTCCACGTTACACCACAACGAACCTTGTGACACCGTTTTCCGAGTGCCGTCTTTTCCCGTGCTGCACCACACTTCCCAACAGCACAATCAATCTACCATGGCCGAGCTGTCTCAACAAATCACGCACTGTTCTCTCACCTGTCTCTCCAGGTCCTGAATCCTCCGGGCGTCAGCCGCTCGCTCACCCGTGCTCCTGCGGCGCTGTTCCCCCCGGTCCCGAATGGCAGCCTGCAGCTCTTCCACCTGGCGAGCACACGTGGGATGTAGTATTCAGATAAAGATGGATTTTTGTAACACCCACAGTACTGTTTGGTATCCCTGCCAAAGCTAGTGCTCTCAACGAACAAACAATGCATTTACCGAATTTCAGAAGAGAGAACAGCTCTCCGAAAGGCTCCTTATATCACTTTAACACATGCGGGACATAATAGAAATGGCTTTGGGAGTTGCCAGGCCACACACACACACATTGTGTGTGTGGCCTATTGTGTGCATACTGACATGCACACACAGAGTTTCACAGCTCTGCACAAGAAGTGAATGTGTGTGTGTGTAGACATGCGCACAACACTCAAGAGCTCTACGTGATCCACATTCGTGGCGCGGTACGTATATCGGTTCTGCCCCGGTGCCCCACCTGCTGCTTGAGGGCCTCAATCTGCGCAGTGGCAGCCTTGAGTCGCGCTGCGTCGCGGTCCAGCATGTCCTGGTTCTCGGCATACCACGCCACCTTGCGGGCAAGGCGCTCCACCTCTTGCCGGTGCTGCTGCTCCACGACCTTCAGCTCGTGCTCCTTGTCACCTGCGAGCCACGCCGCATGTTTATTTTCAGCTATTTGTATTTTATGCTGCATCATCCTTCAATAACCTCGTTCGCAATTGTAGTGGAGAAGACAGCTCAATGTTAACAGATGTCACCTGACAGGTAGGTGGCCTGTGTCTTGGCATTCTCGCACTCCTTCTTGGCCTTGTTCAACTCCACTTCCAGGCTCTGATTGGCCAGCTTCATGCTCCTCACCTCCTGTCTCAACTTATCCAGCTCCCGCTGTTCAATTCAAAGGTTCAGGTGATGAGTCTGATTAAACGCCTTGTGTATACATTTCCTCAAGACATGATAACCATGAGACATAATGATTTACATCCCCCCTCATTTTCCTCCTCCCATGATATGACAATTAAATGAAGCAGGGCTGTGTAATTAATGAGCTCTTGTGCTTCACACATTCGTCAAGTAACTACTTTCAAGGCTGTTTCTTACTGACACAACGTTGCCCATTGGGTAGGTGAGTGTTTCACACAGGCTCCGTCCCTGAGTGGTCCACCAATCCTATTCGCAGCTGGAGCCTCCAGCTTAGTGGTGACCAGCATGCACCACAATAAAGTCGTAACGAGATCATTAAAAGAAAGAGAGATTTGCCGTGTCGATCGTCACCTGCGCACTTGACAGCTCCCCCTCCAGGTCGCCAGTTACCGACCGGTTCCGGGTGGGAGCGACGGCTTCTCTCAGGTGGGAAATCTGCTCCTTCTTTTGTGCCAGCTCCTCCCTGCTCCAACACAGCGATGAGTTAATTGGGGACGCGTCAAGAGACCACCCGTCACACAGCCCAATGACGGGTTACATAAGACACCTCGAGTGAAGTTTCACTGTCAAGGGGTGTTGGTGCACACCAGTTAACCAGCACTTTGGAGTCATCAAAAGGTAGTTCATCTATATTTATTAAACTTCCAAACCTGCTAGGCTGCAAGGTGGCCTGGGGATAGCAGTACAACAATTTGATTTTAAACCTATCTGTGTGGGTGTAGATTTCCTTCAAGTATTCATGTCATTTGATAGAATTACTGATGGCCATAGTGCTTAAGTTTTAAAATGACGATGCCTGTAGCACGATATAATCCCCTACACCCCCTGGGTCAAGGCTACAGAGGTGTAAGTTGACAGTAGGATATCAATCTCTTCCTTCAGCCACGGGGGTTGATAGTATTTCAGCTACATAAAATTGAATCTATGGATTAAAAACATTATGAAAATCTATGCTGTCAGAGGTCACTTTAAATATCAAATACCTATAAATATATTTTTATTTCCTCTTCTTTGGTTCTTTCGGTAAAGTCACGAAGAATGAGAATAAAATAATAAATAAAACAATAAAATTATCACGACGTTTTGGCCACAACACAAGTGGCCTTCTTCAGGTGAAGGAACAAAAAACTGTCGGGACGACAGTTTGTTTTGTTTATTATTTTATTCTCATTCTACGTGACTTTACCGAAAGAGCCAAAGAAGATGAATCCTTGCAGTCACGAAAGCTTTAAATCGAAAAATATATTTTTATTATGAAATATCATTGTGTTTCAACACTGGCTTTCATGATGGTCCTACATTGGGGTATTGGACCATTTTCTCATCAATGTAATCTTTTGCACATGAAAAGAAATCAAAATGTTATTTTATATTACAGTATTTGAGAGTTAAAATTACTTACAATGCTATTCATTGCTATTGAATGATACTGCTCTGTACCATTCTATTGCTTTTTAGCTACCGCATTAGCAATATCGCAACATTCACTGTGATCGCTGTTAGACGATGGGTCGACAGGGACGACTTACTTAAGGTTTAGAAGCTCTGCGCTCAGCCGCTGGTTCTCATGAACCATTTGCTGCTCACTCTCCCAGTTCATTGTCTTGAGGTCCTTAGCCTGCTTGTACAGTCGCTCGTTCTCCTGCAAGCCACGATTGCACGACAGCACCATCAATCGAGACAACACTGCGATGATTATACGTGCAACGTTTACAGTGACACTGCAGTCTCCCCGGCACCTGGTGGTAGCCCTGGATAATGACTTCTTGCTGACGCAGCTCCTTCTCCAGGTGGTGCAGTTTTTCGTCCACCGAGTTGCCCGGAGTCTGCCTCTCAGTCCGTGCACTCTCCTCGCCGACCAGCTGACATGGCGAGTCCAGCCAGACGAACGATTAGGCATTGCTGTGCTAGACGATGCAGGGATGCTCATCGCATCCACTCTGAATATTTAAATGGCGAACGGTAACCCCACATTTAAAATAAAAACTTAGCACCTATGTCAATTACACTCCCTAATAACAGAAATAAATGTCTACTATGTTAATGTTTTGATAAATGGTCCTCCTTCAGCATCAACATGTTAATGGCACGGCCAAGAAAATGCCAAAAAATATATATTTGAACACATTTTCTAATTTCATTCATCCTGTGAATCATTACAATAATTATTCTGAAATTAACTGTGCACAAAGTAGCGAAGCATAAATGGAGGCTCACTTTCGCATGTAACACAAAGTTCTGCTGCTTCAGCTCAGCGATCTCCCTCGCGTGCTCCGCATTCAGCTGCTCCTCACGGCGGAGGAACTCCGTGCACCTATCGCGGAGCTCCTTGCTCGGCTCCTGTACAAGCACAGAGCCACTGGCTCTCTCCCTCGCGCCTGTGTGGCCATCCCCATGATGGAGCTCCGCCGTGGGACCGCCCTGCTGCTCTTTCGTAGGGGGCGAGGCTCCCCCTCGTGGAGGGGAGGAAGAATAGGCCCCATGAAATAGTTGGTCGGCCTAAACACAAGCAACAGCAAAGCTCTTTAATGCACACTTCTGTATTAACTAGGGGATTCACATGTCCTCTGCAGATGTTGGAAAAGCTAAATTGTGACAATAATAAGAGTAATACATGCAAAAAACCAATACTCATTTGGTATCCATGGTAGTGTCGTATAACTCTCCGATGTTTTCTGCTTCTGAAGAAGCTCTCAGCACATGCACCGAACGTCGGACGTCATGCCAAACAACGTGGTGGAACTCAAGAGATGCAAATTATTATTTCTAAACAAAGCGCAAACGTGACTATAGGATCTGCCTTGCACATGATATCACCATTACGTGTTTCTAATGCACACACAAGCGTGTTTTAGGCCACTAACTCAAAATTATAAAAATTGTGAGCATATCATAATTTTATACAGCAGCAGCAGGTCACGGACAACTCTTTACCAGTTAAAAAATTGTTAGGAATTATCAGTACAGTAGAGCCATCATTGCCTACTGCATCAGGGGCTTTAAAGGGGGGACAAGCCCTCTTTGATCAGTGGGAATAATTTGGCACCACAAAATGGTAACAATAAACAAATCACTGTGTATAATGGTAGTTAAAAGTATTTATAAAATCGGGTTAAAATTGTGAGATCCCCAAAAATTCCAACTGCAAAGAGCCACCCAGCATAGGCTTTCCTGCATAAGCAACAGTGAACGCTTGGAGAGTGTGAGTGACTCTCTGCAATCGCTCTCACTTGTCTCTCAGCCGAGTCGCAAAGCAGAGAACTCCTTATGCGCCCGTCCACGTAGCCAGCCAGCGAGCGCACGCACGACATGAAGTCGTCGTCCACGAACACGCCCGCCCTGGGCACCGGCGGGAGGTCAGCTAAATAAAAAAAAAGACGCAAAGATCTCGCACTCAGCCTACACATACTGTTGAGGCAAGTGCTGATAGCGAGCCTCTATTGAGGCCAGCATACCGCCACAAAGACGGTCGCTGCATCGCGCACTTTGAGATGCGCTTCGGCGGCCATCTGGAACGCTCTTCCTTCCGATATTAGGGAGCCACTGGAGCTATGCACTTTTAAAACTAAGTTGAAAACGCATTTCTTTAAGAACTGCATTTGGTCTTCTTTGGTTCTTTCGGTAAAGTCACGTAGAATGAGAATAAAATAATAAAATAACACAATAAAATTCTCACGACGTTTCAGCCACAACACAAGGGGCCTTCTTCAGGTGAAAGGAACAAACCTGTCGGGACGACTTGTGTTGTGGCCGAAACGTCGTGAGAATTTTATTGTTATTTTATTTTATTATTTTATTCTCATTCTACGTGACTTTACCGAAAGAACCAAAGAAGACGAATCCTTGCAGTCACGAAAGCTTTAAATCGAAATTTAACTGCATTTGATGTTGAGTTTGTTGTCCTTCCCCCACAACTCTGAATTGCACAGTTGACTATGTACAGTGCAAAAGAAGTTCAACATACATATGTACATGCACAAGGGGGTGGCGTGACCAGCACCAAGCGCCAGCCACCTTTTGTCACCCCTTGCTGATGTTTACACGCTGTATCGGGCGCTCAATTAAGGCTGAGTCAACCTAGAGGAGCCCCAGGACCAGCTGAGGTATCACTCGCACACTGCTGTTAGCCAAAACCAGAAATTAAACTTGGCCCGCCAGGTCTGCAGTGCAGTATGCTCACTGCTACACTGTTGCTCCTCACACACACGCCTACATAAATGCAAGCAAAAACTCATGCATGCACACTAAAATATTATAGTTTCACCGCTGGTCATAATTGAAGGCAGCCAACACAGCTGCTTATACATTTTCAACAAAAGTCAGCTGAGGTTCCCCCTGGGCATGTAAAGATTCATGCCACCCTGTAATTCAAACAATTATCATGAAATGGAGTCACAATTCAACAAAATTATGTTTTGACTCCTTTGCACGGTCTCATTAAAACTGTCTGCCTCATTTGTTTTGTCTCATTAATTAATTTTGCATAACAATACCACTTGCTTAACATTTTCACGAATCATTAAATAATATATTCCTCGGTCTCATTTGAGGCATGTATCTTGAGAATAAGAATAATTTGTATCAATTAATCTATTGATATTAAATGCTGAGTCCTTAACGATTGTAAATTCCTCTGTCACTCTTTCGTGCTGAGCACCTTTTCGGGTTTCTCTGCGACGAGGGTTGGCGTTGAACGTGGAGGCCGGGTTCAACCGCGGTTCGGTCTTTGTATGCGTCCTTCCCCTGGATGGCGAGTGCATGGGCGCACGGCTCTTCTTTTCGGCTCCCCCAGGGGCTGTTCAACAGATACCCCGTACACGAGCAGATCCGTCGTAACCGGGCGGCCACAGAAACGAGTATAGCTTTAGCCAGTACAGTTAACTCTCGATTATCCGTGGGTGTATTATCCGGGGTTGTGGATTGACTGTGTTGGCGATTTAAAAAGTACATATTTGCATGTGTGCTGGACTTATTATGAGCTGCTCTTCATTCGTCGGGGGTCAGTGACTCGGTATACATGTATCTATAAGCGTGTTGAAAAATAAACCGATTACTTTAAATATCAATAAAAACTAAATGAGGCATTCTACGTCTTCATGCCCTTTCTATATAAGCAATAAATAAATATGGTTTAATGGCCTAATTTGCACGTTGTCTTCATCCATGCGGCTCTGCCTTGATGTTGCAAAGAAGCTCGAGAGCCATGAACACCTGAGAATCTGCACTGAATAGAGGGGGGGGACCCATACTAATCAAGTACTCAATGAGGGGCAGGATTTAATCTGCCCCCTTCGCCAACCCGAAATTGACCACCATTGCGAAGTATGATTGTATGTTTTGCATTATCCACAGATTTGTTTTTACACGGGCCACACTTTCCACTGCCTATGACCACAGATAATTGAGGCTTTGACTGTAGTTCACTCGGATGCATAAGATGCGAGGGTCACCTGCACGAGTCGCTGGTGGCCGGGTGTGCCTGGTGGATGCCCGCCCAGTCTTCGTGGGCCGTTCGACTCTGGCGGGGCTGGATGAACGACCATACCCCGAGCTCTTCACGTTGGCATACGGGCTGGAGGTTCGAAGCTTGCGGGCCTCCACGACTTGGGGTTCCGCGACTCTGGCTGTTCTGCTCTCCTGAAGTCTTACATTGGGAGACTGCACGCCACAAGGCCACATGCAGGCCCGTTTTAAAGACTGTAGGGCCGGGCACAATGTTGAGCCTGCAGAGTGCATGGATGGGCAAGCCACTGTGCACAACAGGTCGCTATTGGCCATAGGGTTCCGTGGTGAGCACCAGAGGGCAGTGTGGCAAAGTTCACTGTTGCCCCGTTTTCACCAAACCAAAGTAGCCAGCGTTGTGAACAGTCAGATAACACCCAATACCCACAGGGTATGGAGGTGCCGAATTCCAGCAGTGGAATGACAAAGTACTGTACATGTATAATGCCTTACCACAAAACTCCAATATGGAATTATTAAAAAGTTTCCATCAGTACTAGGAATCATCATTGGTTTACTTTATTAGCTCAAAAGGTACTGTTAATGTTGTGGCACATACTGTAGCATACAAACGAAAATGTGTGCAATTATTCGGAGAGTAAATGTTATGAAATATTATATTTTATTTCTGATAATTAAAATGAGCTTTCCACATAGAAAAACCCACCATATGACACGGATAAGTGAAGGTAAAATGTTATTTCAGAAGAGATTTGTTCCAGTGAAATCAGACACCAGATCAGGTGAGAGCACATGGAGATCCGCAACGAGGTGTTAACCTGCACAGTGCGGGTGGGCATGACTGCCGTGTGCCCACTCTACCTGCTGGATCGCGTGTCGCACGTCGGTCCCCCGTTGTGGGGACAAGCCTTCACTCCTGCGCGTCGACGCCACAGTCCCCCACGGGTCGGCAGTTTCCACAAGGTTTCCCGCAACATCAGCACCGCCACCACCACCGCCACCGCGTGCCACACCGTCAAGCTCAGGCCGTCTGCCTGGTCCCACCAAATCGAGTTGGGTGTCTGAGGATGCGGCGATCGTCAGGGCCGTAGGTGGCTCCAGCTGCGACTCCTCCGGGGTCACATCGGAGGGGCCCTCTAGGTGCAACCTGCACGGCACCGGGCGTGACAATGTTGCGGTAGTCGGCAAGCCTTCCAATGCGTGGAGCAGCGGATTTTTTTTATATCATAGTGGGTGTACACAGGCCCAGCTGAAGAAGATGGGGGCAAAACATATTTGGGGGCTCAGAGGGCATGGGAATTGGCATGTACATGGGGTGTGCCGTAACCATGAACAAGAGCAAGGAGACGGATGGTACAGGGGTAAGGACATGGAATATCTTTACTCCATGAGCTGGGTGAGAAGTAATGCAGTGAAGCTTACACCCACCTGGCAGGCAACAGATCGAAGCTTCGCACAAACGGCATTCCACTCTCAATTCTCCTCATCAGCTCTTCCTGTGTGGGAGCCTCCTCTGCAGAAAAATAACAGATGGGTGTTTGACAAGTCTAAATTAAAAGTCACAGTGTCTCCTTACTAATGTAAACAATGCGGGTAGTACTCGTCAACAATGAGAGACTTATCCAGTGGTGGAAACCCAATATTATCATCCAGTCTCTCCATTAAACGTCCACTCTATTGCCCATAAAGTGCCACTCCATTTTCCCAATTTCTACCCGGTTTGCCCTTGAAAACCCGACTCCTGGCCACAACAAGTTCCTACCTGATCATAGCTAATGCTCTACTACTACTATTTCCCATGACCAAATCACCTGGAATGTGCCTGATATGATCATATCTCAAAAGCTAACCAGGATTTTGAGCCTGTAAAGTGCTTTGATGGGAAACCAATCACAACAAGATCCTATAGGGCAGTTCAGCAAACCCCATTGCTGTATTGTACTTATATGCTACCATGTTTATCTTCTATATATAAGCACACTACTTTGGATATACAGATGCCTATCCTCGCTCCCAAGGGGTGTGCTAACCGTATAATAAAACCCACACTTTATTAAGATAATCCAAAAGTGTTCTGGTGACAGATCCTAAGGGGGTGAGATCGTGAGATAGACTCCCCCTCTCAATTATTACCATAACAGGATGGAGGGTGGGTGGGGGGTGTTACAGTTGGGGGTGGTTTACGCTGCTTCTGCGCAACTGGGCTGCTCGTCATACCCCCCCTGGACATGCGATCGAGCGAAACGCAAACCCCCACACAGCCCGGCGCGCGCCGCAGGGATGCGTGGTAAAGCATCTTGCAGGCGTGACGCCAGCTGAGATGGCGGGTTGCAATTTCATCTCGTTTGTAAAATAGGAAGCGTGTGGTTAAAAAAAAGACATCGGTTGTTTACATTTTTCTTGAATTTTTGGAGGCAGGAAGGGGGGGAAGAAATCTGTCAAAATAACGGTGAGAAACGAATTGATTTACTGATCCGTGTAAACATGGGTAACTGCAAGGGCAAACACACCAGCAAGTTGGATCTAGAGCAGAATAAATGCATAACGGTATGTTTTCTAGTATAATGGGTTCACATTGTTAAGTTCATTCAAAAGTGCGAATGCATAAGTAAACTCTGACTTTGCTTTTAATAATTTACAATTATATATTTTTAAATTGAGCAACCATTTGAAAGATGTCATCAACCAAGTCAAACTTTAGCTGCCTTATAATTGTACAGCCATTTCCATTTCTTCCAGTGGGTTGTACTCGCTTTCCAGCACCGCGCGCCATCGCTTCCCCCGAACCCCCTGCAGCATAACAAAAGGCGGCTTAACTTAGCCCTCCCCCTCACCCACGACCCTTCCTGGTTCCTTCCTCCCCCCTTAACCTGTATATAATCTCGGGTGTCTCAGAGCTCTTCACTTGATACAGCTATTTTGCTGTGACTGTTCCACCTGAAGACGGAAGCTTGCGTTGCCTCCGAAACGTCGTGATTTAATTTAGTTGTTTTCATTTATTTTATTTTACCTACGTGACTTTACCGAAAAAACCAAAGAGTATAATCTACAATTTGTTTACGAAATCTTTCATTGCACGAAGCCGGAGTAGGACAGTTAAGGAGACTGACCAGAGCCAGTGGCAGAGAGTCCATGTGGCTGTACATGCAAGTTTGCCCCTGTAGGGTGACCCGTGGGATGGTTGGTGGGGTCACGCATCGGCTGACCAGGTTCGCTGCCTCCCGTCAGCCGGCCAGCGCTTCTGTAGACACGGCACAGCGAATCCAGTTCGCTGCCACTCTCTGCAAGCCATGGTCCTGGCGATGCAGGGGTGGGTTGGGGGGGGGGTGCATCAGAGACATCACCACAATGGCGAGATGTTAACTACCTCGCCTAGTATACAGGAGGTGGTGAGTTCTATACCGATTCTGACGCCTCTATATTTGGAGTTTGCATGTTCTCCCCGTGGCCATGTGGATTTTTCTTCCAGTCCTCTGGTTTTTCCCTCCACATTTAGAAACATACGTTTAGAGTATTTGGCTGCTACTAAAAAATTTTCCACATAAGCCACTTCATTGGGTGATCATTTGTGGCCAGGTCGCTTCTGAAAAAGAGCTATATAGCTAAGTGGGCCTTAGCTGATAAATAAAAAATTGTTGAGCCATTAGTTTAGTTTATCAGACGCAACCGAGAGCGCTGTGTGGGTGAAGGGGCAAGGAGAGTGAAGCCCAGGAGGAGCAAGCACCTGCAGTGGGTGCAGAGGCATTGCGAGTGTCACTCGTCTCATGCTTGCCCTCCTCACGTTCGACTTCTTCGTGATTGTCCTCCTCGTGATTGCCCCCCTCATGATCGTCCTCTTCATAATCATCCTCATAGTGATCGCCCAGAGTCGGCCTCACATCCAAAAGCAGCTTCTGAGTGTCCAGCGTCGAATCCATTGAGTCCAAAAGGGCAACTGCAAATAACATACATACACAGAAATAAATGTACTGTATGAGACAACTTAAATATAAAGTGCACTTCAAGAGCTTTTTGAAGACAATGTTGGGTTATTTTGAAGCCCCAGTGATGTAGCTTAACATACTAAACGTACTACCATTAATGATAGCTATATTAAACAATGCCAGCCTGTGGAGTACTCTTTAGGCCTTTGACCAAATTACCCAGAATGCGTTCGATATAATTAGTTGTCAGAAGCCAAGCACCATTTTCGCCTGGATAGTGATTTGGTGGGCAACCACCATGCAACACATTCCTGCGGAGGGAGCTGGTAGGAACGTTGGGTTGCTCGGTTAATGGCCAGGGTCAACGGCGGCGTGGTGCATTTTGCAAATATGCCCAACTGTCAGGGCGGGCACAAGCCGGCGTGAGTAGGGTAAACGTTGAGTTTTATAAGGGCACCACGGGGTGACCAGCCCCTTCCCACCCAGCCCCACCCCTCCCACCCCCCACCCAGCCCAAACCTTCCCACCCAGCCCCAACCTTCCCACCCAGCCCCACCTTCCCCTCTCCACCCAGCACCACCCCTCCCATTTTTGGATGCACGACGGACGGACGGACACAATAATCCCCTGTGGGCTGGTGTAACCAGGAGGTTCCTACCAGTATAACAGGTGTTTAGGCTCTGGCATGACTGCATCCAGCAATTGAATGGATTGATGAAGAGCTGACAATTTTATTCTAGAAATTTTAAAGATCACAGCAGTGCATTATCCTCAGGCCACAAACCTTTTGCCAGCATGCTGGTCGGTGCTGGGATTTCAATTGGTTTCCTTGGCCCCCCGTTCTTGGGTGGTGCTGAAGTCTCGGGGTGACCCACACTATCTGCTTGCCCTGTGATCTCAGGTCTCACTGCTGCTGATGCTGCTGCCGCTGCAGCTGCTTCCGGATGCTCTGCTGCTTCTGAAACATCCCGTGCAGCCTGCGAAATGCCCGTCGAACTTTCTTGACCCACGTCAACGCTGTGCAGACCTGTATCAGATACGAAATGATGAAAGGTGCTACCTCATTAAAATGTTTACAATTTTAAAAGCTTGTATGAAATGGTTTGATAAAAAATAATACATCTATAGTAAATGACTTAAAAAGTACCAACTGCACTTCGTATTACATTGCATTACTTATCCTATGTGTCCGTTTATTGTGTATACTCCAGTGTATACAATGTCCTTGGTTGCCTTGGGAAAAATGTGTCAATTCTAAGTTCATGTGCAGGAACAATGTGCAGTGCTTTGCTCAAATGCACTTCTTACATTTCTTTGGCACATTGGGATTTGTTTTGTACTTGTATGAGTTGCAATTTAAAGCAATAAATGATAATGATGATGATATCAATGCTGCCAGTGCACTTTACCTGAAGGGAACGTCCTTCTCACTGTTGTCTGACTGTCGTCAAAATCATCTGAGATGGGCCTCCGCTCGTGTATTGAGCTGCAGGAAATAAATATTGAATACAGAAAGTTTCACTGTAAAAGTTTAAATAGTCATTGACAGAGACATAAGAGAAAAGGGCAGAAGAATCAAGTGTTTTAAATACCTGATATTCGTGCCACTGTAGGCACAACTCAGCACTCTGTCCAGTTATGATTATTGAAAAATGAAATTTTACTTTCCAAACCACAATGAGAAACGCATTTTAAATACACAAACTTTCTTTCAAATATTGCAAAATATATGCCGCTCCACTGCCAGATGAAGGCCTCGCCAGACTGTGATGGTCAAGGAGGTTATTTTAGCAGACTTCACCACACTGGTCAGTGTGGGTTGAAGGGGGGGCAGGCAGGGACTGGTTCAGATGTCACTGAAAACTCATGTTAGCCTTGGCCGAAGCTCAAACCACCGATGTTATAATGTTCAAACCCAAATAAATACTTTTTGCAAGGTATCAAGTCTACATTAACCACACATACGTGTGGCAAAACATGCAAACAAACATGCTCTGATCATACATGCATTTTCTTTTAAACTGATTGGCCTATACTGGAGACAGCTTTATTTATGGCCTTGTCTCACCAGTGTTAGACCAGAGAACGCCAAAAGGTGAACAGTACAAAGGCAATGCACATAGCAGAATTGCCAGAAAGGCTAAAATCTATTTTTATTTTTAATCATTTTGGATACTGGCAAAAGATCCCATTGATATCAAACCACCGAGTTTGTAGCACAATGCACTAGCCATTGTACCAGTACTCCACCCCACAAAGACCTTATTTTATTATTCTACTTGAGTGACTTCGGATCAAATTTATGAGAATTCCTGGTAATTCAGAAACGAGGACAGAGTAAACGGGTGGTAGGGAACTCTCACCCTGGTGGCGAGGGTAACGACTGCTGTTGAGCGAGATCGTGAGGCGTGGATACCCCGCCTCGACTCAGCTCCCGAAAGAAGCGCTCCTTCTCCTCCTGCTCCTCCAGGGTGTCCAACCCAAACCCCGCCACATCCTCTGCCCGAGCCGCCACCCAGCCGAGCCCACAAGCGCAGGTCACACGGCATTAACACACGCACGCATTGAAACGATAAAACTCTGAACAAAAAAAATATTCACTCGCGGATCACAACACTGGTGGCAAATATCACTTGTGACTTACTCTATAAACTAACGATAAAAGTGACTTTGTGATTTGTGTGCATAATCCAGAGGTTCACTGTCATGCCCAACTGACACTGCGTTATACAGAGCACCTAATAATTGTTTTTTCACATGTAGAGCCCTCTTTTATCAATCCACTGCTGGATGAGGGCTCTCCTATGCTGTTCAGGTTGTGGGGGTTGTGACCATATTTCACCACACTGGTCATCGTGGGTTGGTGAACGTAGCATAGACATGAGAGCATAAGATTACAGTGTGACACTTTTTATTCTGCACTTTGCTGCCCATAACATAGCCCAACAGCAGTGTATCACACCAGTTATATGCATTGTGGAAGCACATCAAAGCACTATTCAGAAGGAATCCTGCTTAACTTCTAAAATCGGATGAGAGCGGGTGCATTCAGGGTAATTTAGTCATAGGCATTGTCCCATAATTACAATTAATTACAAATCTATACAAATTTACAACCACAGCTATCACAATAATTGCAAATCATAAATGAATATACAACAAAATATACAAGAGACCCATACACTGCGTTAATCCTGGCATGGTTAGCAGAGATATAACATCACCATACAGAGTGTGGTTTGATCCCACACAGAGAGGTGTTCAAACACATCTATCTAACCACTTCACACTCTCAACCCGTGTGAAGGTGTGCAGAGAACAAGCTCACCGTCCACTTCAAGACTGTCTCGGCTGATGGAGACAGAAGCTGTTCCCTTGCGGACATCCTGACGGGGAAGCCTCTGGCTGCTCTGCTGCTGCTGCCCTTTCGCCTCATCTTCAGACTCTTCCTCCACAATGGCGCGAGACGACTTGAGGAAGTTCCGTGTGGCCCCGCTCAGCCCTATGCATGTAACAGTTCAGCGACACAAATATATTCCTATGTTCACGATAAATGCATTGAATCTTGAATGTAAAATACATGTTTACGTATTCAAATTATATGCTGATATATTTCTTGTGCTAGATCGTACAGACACAACAAAGATGAAACAACGCATACACGATAATACAAACATGAAAAAAATAGGTTATAGAATCCGATTTAGGCCCCAACTCATGACAATGCACTGAATTCCTCAATAAATGAATGACTACATTAGGACCTAAGATGCCAACCTCTGCATGTTTTTGGCCCACTTTACCTGGCTGTACAAAAGCGCTTTTCAACAAGTAAAGTCACAAGATGCAATCTTACAATCTATAGAACAACGTGTACTGGCTGCCAGAGCCATGACAGTGCGAGATATTTTTTTTGTTCAAAATTATTTTATTAACAAGACGATGCAGGTACACACAGAGGATATGAAAGGAGGTTGACACCAGAACAAACAAATTATGGATTATAGTGCAATAAAAACCTGTCTAAAACGCATGTTTCAATAAACTGCTTCAATAAACTCTGAAACCCTGGTATCTTCCTAACCTCTGATACCCCTATAAAAAAGGGAGGGGGGTGCCTAAATGCCCAAATGAATGCTCTCAAGAATAATGCCCACTGGAAAAGAGGTAGTGAAGGAGTTCCATGTTTGGTGGTAAGCTTCCTCCCTGCACCTTAGTTTTGCACTTAAGATGCTCTAGAGATTTAATTAAGGTTGGTGAACGCGAAGTGAATACGCTCTGACCTGTGGGATTGACGTCACGGTCATCACTCCACCAGGGCCGCCGCTCTGGCGTAGCTGAGGCTGCGTCGCGCGAGCGCTCCGGGCTCCCCGCAGCGCTCACTCTCCCGGAGCGAGTGAAATCAGATTCGTCGGACAGCGACTTTCAACAACACAAAGCGTCGCAGCGATGCGCAAGCCACTTTACATTCGTGACATCGAAAGCAACACGCACACGATGCTCCGTAAAAATACTGTTCTCTGGAACCAAATGGACGAATTCCAGTTATTGAAATTATTCGTGATGTCAGTTCTGATTCTTATCAGGACGTGAATGTGCATGCCTGACTAAGCAGATCTTTGGAGGTAAAAGTTTGTGGAACTTGCATACTTGTGAAACTCCAAAACTTGCTGAGCTGCGAGGTGACTAGGAGATAGCAGTAGAGGAAATGGGATTGTGAACCATTGTGTGCAGACTTTTGAGTCACCCCATTGTATGCATAGATTTTCAGCAGATATATCAGCTATCGTCCAGACTCGCACTCATTTGTGGGAATGGGCAAACGACCAAACTTTATTGAGAATCTTGAAAATTACTGATTGTCGAGACTCAGCCGTTTCGACGTCTAGCTCAGACATTTTTAGAATACACCAAACCCTTTGCACCAAATCGGTGTGCACCACCGCCCCCGGCTCTTAAGACTCACAGATCAGCAGCAGCAGTCTCACCTCCTTCATGAACTTCTCAAACTGCTCATCCAGCTCCTCCTTGGTGAGCTGGCCACGCTGCATGGTAGCCGAGGAAAGGGGCTGCTTGCTCACCGTGGCACTCGGCAGCGACGCCACTGCCACATCATCCATGGTGGCAGCGAACCAAGGTGAGCATCCACCCACAAAGGCACCGAATTCAAGATTACATTTTTATTCTTTTTTTTTACCAGGTAAGGCCCACTTGAGCTGTATGGCTCTTTTTTCCAGAAGCGAACTGGCCATAAATGATAGCTCAACTAAGTGGCTTAGCATCACGTGGACATTTATAGTTGCCGAAGACTCAAAACGGATGTTGTTGACTCTAAATGTAGAGGGAAAAATCGGAGGACCCGGAGAAAAATCCACGTGACCACGGGGAGAACAATACACCATTCAAACCGGTGGAATTGCTGCGGCTAGAAACCACTCAAGGGATCAGAGTATTGGGCTTATGTGGTCTCATTTAATGGTGCGGGTAAGATTTACCAATTATATTGCAGGATTGTAACATAAAGGACGCAATCAAGAGGTGGATCAATAGGCCCCGATCCGATTACATATCTGGTAACCCATATGGTTTACCCACCCCTATTCTTGTACAGGGAAATTGAGTTTTCATACGGCGTACAGCCGTTTAAATACGGCAAAAATTCCATATTTGTTTGTGTTTCTCCCGAGTGATGGGACTTTGTAGGATGAACGTTGAGATGTATAAGGGTACGGGATGACCAATAAGGTCTGAATTGGTCTGTAATAAGGTAGTCACTGATCAGCGGTTGACAGGTATGTGATTATATGTACGTCAATGAATGCTCCCACCTGGCTGAAAAAGGACACAATGCATGCAATTCAGTGGACTCATCAGCTGATTAAAAGTACATCAATTACCAATTAATTTCACGTCTGGTTATTATGCAAAGTCTGTTATGTTAGTCTCCTCTCCCGTTCCCGTTCTGCTGTAATGTGCACCGATGCACATAAAATAAAGATTGGCCGATTGAATGTGCTCCATCCCTTTGTCAAACTGTTTGAATTGACGCTAAAGTCCATTATTCATCATCAGCCATGGTCAATCCACTGCTGGATGAAGACCTTCCGCAACCGTGGGCATCCTCCCACGACCCTGCGATGTTAACAATGCACCCAGCACCTGAATTGATTGCAACGCTCCATCTCCGCGTTGGACGTACGATACTCCGATCTCTGGCTGTCCGGTTATTATGCCAAGTCTAAGAATTGTTTTTTCCCCTTTTTTTCTGGTTAACTAAACTGAAACCTTTTACAAGGAATTAACCACAATATTTGTGGTCAGAATGCAAACAAAAAATACTCTGATAACATATGCATTGTCCTTGAAACTGATTGGTCCACATCAGAGACGGCTCAAAAGAAAGGGAAAAACCTATTCTTATATATTTTGGTACTGGCAAGGAGGTCTAATGACGTAGATCCTCACCACGAGCCCTCATTACTCTGATAGTGACATTGTCTTTGGGCTGTACGCCTTTTGGCGTCCTCTGGTCTACCACCGCTTTGAGACGAGGCTCAAAAGAAAGCTGTCTCTGGTGTGGACCAATCAGTTTAAAAGGCAATGCAAATATTTATCAGAGTTTGTTTTTTGTTTGCATTCTGACCACAAATATTGTGGTTAATGCAGACATGATTCCTTGTAAAAGGTGTCAGTTTTTGTTGCCAGAAAAAAAGGGGAAAAACCTATTCTTATATTTTGGTACTGGGCAAAGGAGGTCTCATGATGTAGATGCCAAGTCTGTTGTGTGTTTAAAAAAAAAAGTTGCCCATTAAGTTGAATGTGCCTGGAGCCACAATGGGTTCTAAAATTTGACAGAGGGGCCGGGCCAGGAACAGATGGATGGAGTGTTTGTGTGAACTAATATAAATGACGTGTAAAAATCATTACATGAAAGGATTTGGCCTTTAACAGGTAGCAAAGCATTTATTTGCAAGGCAAAGTGCGCCATCTAATGGGGAAATGGAGGCATTACAGGAGAAAGGTAAAATTTAATTGAATATTTGGACAAAGTTTGACGGGCCGGATTAAAAAGCCCAACGGGCCGTATACGGCCCGGGGGCCGTAGTTTGCCCATGTCTGGCCTAGAGCAAGGCCCCTTTGTTATTATCGGATCTCATAAGCTGAGCAGAGGTTTGAGCCTGGATAGACTTGGATAGTGCCTGGATGGGTGACCAACGCCGTACGATATCCTGGGTGCTATAGGCTGCTGTGGGACTACGTGAGGGTGGTCAGCAAAGGGCAGTGCAGTAAACACACAAATGGTTGTACTCTACTCGTATGCTCCGCGCGTCCACGCTCACACTGCCTAACGCTGACCCGGGGTGGTTAGAAGCGTGGCGAATGAATTCACCTCAAACGACTCGCGCGAGATTGTTGTTTGCACTCGTCCAGCAGTGGAGCATACGCGTGTCTCACCTGGTTAAATGAAGGCGAACACCGTCACCATCACCACCACCATCATCATCTTCATCATCTGCATCATCTCACTGTGATGAGAGCGAGCGCACAATCTGTGAATATTATCACGATCGCCAGCAGCAGCACCAACAAAATGTTAATATTAACACGATCTTAATATAGCTTCGTCCTTTTAACAGTTAATAAGCCGACGCGTGTTAATTACGCGGATATTTGCCATTGTAATTAACGCTTTTAGCACGTTGGCTGTCACTAACGTTGACGTTTGTAATGGGACGGGCGCGTAACAAAAACAAACGGCGATCCGCACCCTCCGCGATTCGATTATCTGAACATTAATGACAATTAGATTCCAAAACCGATTCCCGCGTCAAGTTTGTTCCGTCGCGTCTGTACTGTCTCGGTTTTTTTTGCCTGTCTCGTTCGTTCCCATCTATCAGTGAAACGAGTAAATGTGCATATAAGGCGAATTATTATATGTTAACTGACTCTCTCACGCACGCCACGATCCGACGAGTGAATCGACAACGCGACACCGAAACACGCAGTAATCGATTAATCGATTCACGACCTGACAACCGAAAGTCTCGCGGGAAAAAACCCGCCGCTCGTGACGTCAGCGATATCTGCACGCGATTGGCTAAAAGAGCGACACGTGACTTAGTCGCACCCCCCTACCTCCCAATCGCGTTGTGTGATTACGTCATCACGCAGCACGTAGCCGCGTGGCGACGTACACAACGCGTCACTACGTAACTTGTCAGGGCATAGGCGCAGCCCTGCAATTGCTGGCTCGGGTGGATCTCCCACTCGAGGGAGCCCTAGATGTCTTATTTATGGGGTATTTCGGCCTAATCCTTCACGCACTACCATGTACTTATGCAATTTGTCCTGATATACTGTACTTTTTATGGTCATCTTTCCTATAATTTGCACTCCTATCGGTTTCTGTATTTTTTGTTTTAACTTTCTGACACATTCCCCTGCTGAACTTTCCAATCCACATCGCAATTGGAATGCTGAACTGTCCATTCCTTATAACTTAATTTGCTATCTTATATATATACGTGTACATCATCCTCATCCATACTTATTATTATGCTTATTAATCTTGTTATTCATATTCTCCACAATGAAGCGAATGGTTTTCAGTTTCATTTACAGTATTTGGTATAGCCATGTGAGCCATGCGGCTCTTGAATCGGGTGCAACCGCAACAAACAAAAACATGAACAAGAAAACATCTTAAAGTGACTACGCGCAAACAGAAAAATCCAGGAAAAAAACAGAAAAAGCACCGTATATCAATGCTGTGTGCAACAATCCCAGTGGGATGCAAATCAAACCATAAAAAACCATAAGTCAATTTAGATTAAAGTTATCAGTCTAACTCTGTATTACAACAAACAAATATGGCTAAACCAAAAACTTTTCGAAATCACCAAAGAAAAGCTATACAAGCAATGTAACAGTGATCATAGGAACTGTGATTGAAATTTACGTTTGGTTGTGCATTTCCACGTGATTTCGTGTGGAATTGGAACCCCATGTCCCCTTGCATGAAACATCTGCAGTTCGCCGCCATTGATTGAGGCATGCCTGGCTTTGCTGATCAGACACCGCATGCCGGAACCGGTCCAGAGTGTTGCTTGTCTTGAAACAATGCTGCTGGAAATTGTGGACTGATGGTTTGTGTAAGAAATACTATGTTTGGATTATGTGGAAAGACCAATATGTGAAGGAGACACAGTCTGGACATTTATTTTATGATTTATATTCTCATCAACGACACATTGTTAAATTTTGATTTAAAGCTTTCGTGACTGCAGTAATTCATATTCTTAGCTCTTTCGGTAAAGTCACGTTGAAGGGAAAAAATATATATTATTTCATTGTTTCCCTTCAACGTGACTTTACCGAAAGAGCTAAGAATATGACACTCATTATTGTTTGTTTACATATGAGAACTATAATAACCCGAAATCCGTTTAATGTTTGTGCAACTTAATTTTGTAATTGTACTATGATCAGTAGAAAAATGATTTGCCCAAACAAATTCTTTTTCACCTCAGGGAATTTAATATCTAACTTTATTCAATATTTTAGATTTCTCATGTGATCGTTATTTTTGTTTTGGTTCTGATCTCTATTTTGCATCATTGCTATACTTTATGATACTATGTTCTTGCTTTTGTAACGTTGGTGACCCATGTCACTTGCAAATTAGACTATCCTGGTCGAAAGAATTCTCACCCGGTTAAAAAAATATTGAAATTAACTGTTAGCCATGATCAGAAATCAAACTCATGCAAACCGGGTTCATATTGCAGTGCACTAATCACTGTGTCAACGTACCAACATTATAACGTGAGCCATGTTCAGTCCACTGCTGGATGAAGCCTTTTCCGAGCTGTAGCCATCTATCACGACCAAGTTATGCAATGATCCACCTAAGCGATTTCACACACTATACTCTTTGGTTCTGTTCGGTAAAGTCACGTAGGTAAAAAATAAAACAACAAAAATCACGACGTTTCGGCCACAACACAAGTGGCCTTCATCAGGTGAAGGGACCAGACTGTCTAGAGGATAACAAAAATCACGACGTTTCGGCCACAACACAAGTGGCCTTCATCAGGTGAAGGGACCAGACTGTCTAGAGGACAGTCCTCTAGACAGTCCTCTAGACAGTCCTCTAGACAGTCTGGTCCCTTCACCTGATGAAGGCCACTTGTGTTGTGGCCGAAACGTCGTGATTTTTGTTGTTTTATTTTTTACCTACGTGACTTTACCGAACAGAACCAAAAAGTATGGATCCTTGCAGTCACGAAAGCTTTAAATCTAGAATCGATTTCACACAGGCTGATACTATCGCTCCATCTCCACGGTGTTCCCCAATGTGAATTATTCTCAGCCACCTTCCATCAACCCTTCTTCGGACATGCCCTGCCCAAGCCCATTTTTCTGAAATATTAAAAAAGTACGTAATTAATCCGCACATGTTCTCCAATGCAAAGGCTCCTCCTCAACGAGATCATGTAGAAAAGCACAGGCGTGTTTGGCAGGATTCGTAAGCATGCACCCATGTGTCAATTTGTGCCACTCCCATGACTGAAACATTTTAAAATGACTAGCATTAAAGTCGCCTTGAGGCTTGCCTCCACGGGGAAACACTTTAAAATCTTTAATGCACGTCTCTAAACATAAACACAAACGGATTAGCTGACTTTTCTTGGCTTTGGGTTTCAATAAATGCTGTTTTGTTTGAATGTGAGGCCATGCCTTGAATGTAATCCTTTTTTAAGAAGGTGCGGGCAAGAGCCAAGATGACCTCCTTATCTCGTGGGAACATTCTCTCCAGCTTGCTTATTCAATGCGGTTACATATATATTTACTCATTTATTCACGAGCAGCCCTATGCAAAGTAACTATATTTGTGCCTAAAACAATGTACAGTGTATTTATTCTTGCCTCACCCAATTGGAATGAAACGATTTACGTGGTGGCTTTTAAACGAAATCATTTTCACGCGGAACAAATTTTGTGGCAGTCGTGGTTTTTGTGTTTTTTGTTATATTACAAAGCTCTTCAGCATTTCAGTGTATAATGGTCTCATCAATATGTGTACATAAAGCTGTTGTTATTTGCTATTGAGCCACGGGCAATGTAACCCATTATTATAAATGTGTTTACTTATTCTATTTTCTCACCACCGTTGATACGAAATTACAATCTCACGATATTGTGTGTAAGGAACATTGCATTTATATTTCTAAATGAAAAAGTAAATCAAAGTATGAAAATGAATCGGTCAGCAAATGGATGAGGCAAGAGGCAGCAAGTCTTATTATCAAGCAGAAGATATTATAATGACGTGGATATCAAGGATGGATACCTCAACAGAGGTTTTTACAAAAAACAGATTCGATGGAAACTGACACATGAAAGACAGAAAAACGGAATACCGAAGAGCAGATGGCGAGACAGAGTACACTAACTTGGCGAAAGATCAGAGGATGTTGAGGGAACATGTGTCGACAGCTTTTGCAGAAACGCAAATGTTCCTCATAATTCCAATGTCATGGACACATTTCACAAGTCGGTGTGCCAGATTGAGCCACTACTTGAGACAGGTGCTGCTGCCGTTTTGAGATGAGGACAAGCCGCCAAAAGGCAAACACGTGGCTTGTGGATGAGGATGATGATGGATGCTGAACCCGCTTCATGCACCCGGCAACTGGTGCCACCGATGATGTAATTCACTGCTGGGTTTGTGCACATAGTGCGTTAGAATAAACATATAGTCGGAGTGTAGCGGTTTCACATTGCAGCACGTCGTTAATGGCACAAAAAAAACCCGGATCCTGTAAAGAAAAATAAATACACTCGGTAACATTGTAAATACACGGCAGGCTTTTCACGTTGTGAGCGACATTATGTTTTTGTAAAAAGTGGGCCAGATTGGCTCATTGTTAGGGGGCTGGCGTGGGAACACTGCCAGGAAGGAAAGGGCTCAGCCTTCCTCTAAATGCATTTAAATTAGCATTTGGAATAGTGCAACTATTTTAGGTCATCCTTTATAGAGCATTAAGCCAGTTGAGGCCTATGAACAAATCACATTGAACAGGCCCAATCTCACCAGATCTCGGAATCTAAGCAGGTATGACCCTGTAAAGCCGAGTGATTCGATGGGTGACCACGATGCACACCAGGCTCTGATATGTAGCTTCGGGGCTGTGCTACGATGTGGACAGCAAAAAAGCACTGCAGCAACGTCCGTTGTTGTACTGTACTTCAATGAGGCCATGTCTATGCTCCCCACCTTCACAAACCTCACTGACCAACATGGTGTAATAACACCGTACGCCCTGCATGGTGTGGCGTGGCCCTAATCCGACAGTGGATTAACAAAAAGGTATGTACATGTACACATGTACATTCTATTTGAGAAGTGCTCCAATCATGGTGAAAGAGGAGCACCGGATCCCACGTCTCGTTCTAACTGCTGTAAACTGTCTCTTTGGTCCCATCCCCTATTCTATCCGTTGTTTCCAGGTGATTGTTTCATTCACTGAGTCTCCTGGGTGAGTGAATGATAGGGTAGCCACCTCTTCCACAGAGCAAACCCACACGTAATGTCTCACGTCAGCCTAGGTCTATCAAAACTATGCAGTAAACTTGAATACAGTTCAACACAATACCAGGACTGGATTTCAGTTCAAATAAATTCCTGCCACCTAAACACAGATGCCAAATCCCAGACTGTCTGGGTCAAATCTCAACAGGTGGCTACCATAGTTAGGTGGCTGGCCACATCAAGGCAGCTTCTACACCCAAGATATGCTGAGCTCAGGCCCAAAGGTCAGAAACTCCAAGCATCCAGCAACAAACAGCATGTTTTAAAGTTGTGACAGTGAAGAGTATGGTGGTTGAACACCGTGTGGAAAACACGAAACAATTGTTGGTAGACCGAGTCCTCAACATGGGTGGAGGCATCAATGAGCGAAGTTGGTTGGAACAGTAAACCACGGTCGTGGAATCGATAGAAGACTGGCAAGTTGCGTTGTCCTTCCACCGCAACCTCCGATTACCATTGTTGGCTACATGCGGTGCGAAAAAAGT